AAGGGGGCTTGCTGTGAGAAGCTCAGGGGAGCATGGCATGCAGGAAGCCCGCACAGAACGGGGACTGTAACCTCCTGCCCTGTTCCTCAGGGCTGGCATCCTGCTGTCCCACCAGCGTGGTCCACTGTCACACCATGCTTCTTCCTGGAAGGGCGGCCCCTTGTTCCCGTCCGCCCAGGTACCTCCCACTGTCCAGGGTGTGGCCTGCACTGCCTGCTCTGGAAAGCCTTCCATCCTTCTTTGGGTGAGCAGGTCCACCCTCAGATGCCTCAGGTCCCCCCATCCTGTGCCTCTTACAAAGCTGTGGGTTTTTACTCTGGAGTAACAATGTGTACATTTTTAAATTGTCTTATTAGAATAAAAAACACACAGTCATTCATCCCCTCTAAACACTCCCCTCGGTTTAACACACTTTTTTTTGTTTTTTGTTTTTGAGCCAGGGTCCCACTTGGTAGTGTGGGCTGGCCTCAAACTCACTATTCAGAGTCTTATGAAGTTACCCATCATGTGGTCTCCGACCTGCAATGCTCCTGCCTCAGCCTCCCAGTGGCTGGAATCACAGGTATGTAGCACTGTGTCCAGCTATAATTTCCACTTCAGAGGTCAGAAAACTGAGGTCTGAGGTTGGAGGGGGTGGCACAGACTCTCCATCAGCAGAAAGGCTGCGGCCCCTATGCAGAGGGTCTGCTGGGGGAGCTCGTCTCCAGGACGGCCCCAGGGAACAGGGGCCTTCGGCTCCACTTCCTGTAGTGTACAGATGCCCCACTGGGCCTTGGCTGACCCTGTGACTGGCACCACGTGAGAGACAGCAGGGGAGGGGACACTGCCAGTGCTGGTTCTAACCTTGGAGGTGCCTGGTTCCCTGCCCCTCTCTTGGGAGGATCCTTTTGCAGCCTGTGTCCCCCGAGACCCTGTGGGAGGGTCACGACAGGTCCGGAGGCCAGGAGGAGAGACAGAGTGCCCACGGCCAGGTCACCCAGCCACCGGAGCTCCCAGCATGCAGCCCCGGGTGGAGCTCCAAGACCTAAAGGCCAAGAACTTCCCAGCCAGCCCTCAGGACGGACGCAAGAGTGAGGCCTGAGGTACCAAGCCCTGCGGAGGTGAGCTACCCACAAATACCTGCACAGTACTTGGTTTTTCCAGCAGCGGGGATTGAACCAGAGCGGAAGAGCAAACGTGCCACGTCAAGACACCAAGGACCCCACAGACATGGGGATCCCAGGGTCTTTGGAGAATGAGCGCCCAGCTAGCACCCCCCAACAAAGAGACCATGGCAGAGCCCGGAGGGCAGAGACCAGTCTCACTGTCACCTCCATGTCCCCGAAACGTGGTGCACAGTGGGTGTCAGGTCTAAGAAGGCCCAGAATCGCTTTCCAGCACAGTGGTGCTCAGTTCTGACACTGCATGGCGACAGGTAGGCAGGCGCTGCCCCACCCATAGTGACACTGCCTGTTACCTGTCACGCAGGCAGCTCCTTCCTATTGCCCTGATCATCAAATCTTGATTTGGGTGGCAACTGCTCCCCCACGGACGCCAGTGATTGGTTTAAGGAAATGTGGCTGCCCAGTTCTTTTTACTTGTGATTGGTCCCGAGGGGTCACAGTCCAGCCAATGGGGCTTCAGGGAAAACCTGCTCTGGTGCCCAGTGATTTTCCTGCAGTGTGACATGGATGTGAGACCTCGAACCAAGGCATCGTCTCCAACCAGACCTGGCAACCCCAGGACAGGAAGCCACACTCTGGGCACGGCAGGGGGACAGGCAGTGACCTAGGTGAGTATGCGTGGGACCAGGGCCCCAGTCTCAGGGAGGCCAGATGAGCCAGACAGATGACACGCTACTCCCTGTGGCCACGGTCCCCTCTCCTCAAAGTGACACTGTCATGGACTGGACTTTGTCCCTTCATGCTGTAGAGGTTGAGGCCCTGACTTCCAGACCTTGGAACATGACTATTTTGAAACAGAGTCTTACAGGGAGATTTGGTTAAAATAAGGTTGCTGGGTAGCCCTGGTCCAGTCTGACCGTGGTCCAGTCTGACCAGTCCTCCTAAGCAAAGGAAACATGGACACTCAGAGAGCTGTCAGCCTGGCACACAGAGGACAGACAGCCAGGGGGGCCAAGCAGAGGCCTCAGGAGAAACCAGACCTGTCCAAGCAGCACTGTGATTGAACTCAGGGCTTTCACACTGAGCCACATCTCCAGCTCCCCTGACCCTTAAAAAAAAATTTAAATCTTGAGACAGAGTCTCACCAAATTGCTAAGTTCCCCAAGCAAGGCTGGAACTTGCAACCTGCCTGCCTCGGCCTCCCAGAGGTGTTGGGATCTCTGGGCCTAGCTCAACACCTTGAGCTTGGACTTTGAGCCTCAGACCTGAGAGAAGATAAAGTTCTGGAATTTAAAGTACTCAATCTGGGGTGTTAGGTGTGGACTCTCCAGCAAGCTAATTGAAATATCTGTTATGATCAATATATTATCATCATTGGAGACCATGCAGGGCCCAGGAAAAGAGAAGCCAGTCCGCCGTTTCTGTGAATCAGCAGAGGCCAAGCTGGGTCTGGGACAAGCATATCAGGAAGCTAGTTTGAGTTTTCCATAATTGTGCAAACCAGGAAGGGCCCAGGAAGAGACAAGCCAGGTCTTCTTTCCCGGGAGCCCACTGGTGTGCGGGCTGAGAATCAGAACTCGCCCTCTGGCCCACCTCTGGCATCCGGCTGGTTCGGAGGACAGGCAGCATTGATTACAACCAAGGCACAAAACAGCTGAATGCTTGTATTGTCTGATAGACCTTGCAGGCCTAAGCGGCAGTCTGAGCGTCTGTCAGGAGGAGGGCGGTACGCAGCATAGCAACTGTGGGGATTTCCTTGTGGCTTGGTTTTGAAATCCAATATTGTCCTCACTGTTTTGTTTTGTTCTGATTTATTGTTTTGTTTATTCAATGCTCTGTGTTGATTGCTTTTATTCTGTTTTGTTTGCTTTTACTCTGTCTGAGGGAACAGACAGCTATTGTAAAGATAACAGGGTATCTATGGCATCCACTGTCAGTGACCCATGGTCCTGTTTTGAAGATCTGTGTCCCTTTCAATGCCTTGTTTGGGTTGGCTTTGCTCTATTTGTATTACTGAGTTTCATTCTCCTTAAAATAATCTGTAATCCCCATACTCGGGAGGATGCTTGCGAGTTCGAGACCAGCCTGGGCTACAAAGTGAGCTCAAGCCAGCCTGAACTGCACAGTGAGACGCTGTCTCAAAAAGACAACAAAAAGCCCTCTACCTCACCACGTGACTGTCCCTGGAGCTTGGAGCCTGGATGACACGGCTTGTCCCCCCAATTATGAACAGGGTAGCATCAGCCCACTCGGGCCTTCCTGGTGCCTGTACCCCCGTGACGGATCTGCCCGCTGCCTCAATCAGTACAAACCCAGCCGATGCCCACGGTGCCCTGGGGCTGTGCCCGCTGAAGGGGAGCTGCCAGCTTCCTTCCTAACCATCTCCTCCTTGCTGTGTGACCCGGCCCCCTAACGTGCTCAGCTCCCCCACGCGTCAGGTCGCACGAGGCCGGAGCAAGCTGGGACCCGTACGGGCTCCGAGCTGCGCTCCGCAGCAGAGAGCTTGACTCATAGAAAGTGCTCGAAGTCAGAGGTTGTCACTTTTCTGGACTTACACAGAGGGACAAAAAGAAGAGCACGGTCCTGTCCTCACTTGCTATGTTCCCTGTCATCCTCCTGAGCCCTCGGCCTGTGTCAGATGCCTTCCATCCCGAGGGCTGTGGAGGGACACAGGGCAGGCAGTCATTGGAGCTCTTGGAAATGAGAAATCGCACTGCTTGGCAACTGTCCGGGGCCAGGTGCTCTGGCCGGCCCTGTGGTTTACCGTGGCCTCCAGATTCCTCTTGTCCTTGTCCAGTTAAGGAAAAAGAGGCTCAAAGGGAACACTGTGACCCAGACTCACAGAAAGAAGAGATTGGAACTCAAATCCAGCACCCATGGGACCCTGCAGCCTCCAGCTTCTGGGCCCAGGGGCCAGGCCTGTCCAGCACTGGGCGCCTGGACACCGTCTCTGAGGTTCTGAGACCCTACGCCTGGCGGGCCCCGCTCAGCTGGATCCGTAGAGGTCAGCAGTGGCCTTTTCTTTTCCTCTTTTTCTCCAAACTATTTTATTTTATTTTAAATTTATTTTAACTACTACATAAAACACATAAGTCCTATGCATTAAGAGACGGAAACCCAGATCTTTACCCTGAGCTACATCCCCAGCCTTCTCCTTCTCCTCCCTTTTTAAAAACTATTTTTATTCTGAGAACAGATCTCACAAAGGAGCTAAGCTGCCCAGGCTGGCTGGAAGTTAGGATCCTCCTGCGTCGGCCTTGTTAAGCGAGATTCCTTAATGCTTTACCCAGTACTCACAGCAATAGGGATTTAAGGTGCCGGCATGACATGGAGACACACGAATACTGGGGTACCCCAGAACTGTCCGGCATTGACAGGCATCGTTCCACCCTCCTGATAGACCAGGAGGTAGAACTGAAGTTCTTTTTCCTGTCCCCCCACTCTGGAGGAAAGTCTGGGTCCCTCTTCACCGTTTAAATGGGTGCCTGACATATTTCAGTTGCCTTCTTCCAAAAACAAGGCAATGAATTAAGTTGCTCTTTCTGAGTGATTTTTGGGAGGTAAGAATCTGGGCTCATTATTAATAAAACCAAAACCAACCCGGGAGCACCTTGCACGTCTCTTTGGAAGGCCCTCACTGGCGGGCAGCGGGCCTCGGGGTGACCCCAGGACTCGGGCTCCCCTACTTGGTGGCTCCTTCCCTGGTGCCTCCAGCTCTCCAGCGGATTATCCTGGGCAGCCTAACTAAGCAGAGAGAGGCGCAGGCTCTCTCTGCCCCGGGAAATGAGCTTTCTTCCCTTAAGCCAGAAGTGAGAGGGCAGGAGGGGGAGGGCAGGCCAAGGGATTAAAGATTAGCCCGGACACATGCTCAGGGAATTGACCTTTGACTGAGTATGGTGTAAATAAGGCCAGCCTACCACGGAGAGCAAAGGGACAGTGAAGCAGAGGAGGAAGCTGCCACCGCCAGGTACCGCTGCCACTAGCCCCATGGAACTCCTATTCAGCAGGAACAAGACAGAGCAGCTGGAGCCCGTGCGGGCCCAAGTGACAGGTGAGCGGCCTGCAGAACGCCCGGCTCTTCTCACATCTAGACAGACATCTTTTCTTTTTTCTTTTTTGTAAATATTTTGGGGGAAGGTTGAAGCAGAGGGATTGTTACAAGTTCAAGACCAGCGTGGGCTACAAAGTGAGCTCAGGTCCAGCTGAACTGCATAGCAACACCCTGTCCAAAAAGATCAGTATATTTAGAAAATGGCATACGGGTAAACTGAGGTGGAGTAGGGACACATGGTCTGTGCCGATTCAGGGGTGAGTTTCTGGAAAGGGAGGTGGTCGTTCTTATGACTTCCAGGACCAGCGACGGGGACACTCCAGTCACCACAAAATCAAGGGGATTCAGGGGCAATGCAGTGCCATGGGGCACCCTGAGTTCACCCTGCAGCGCTCGAGCCGTGCCATGCAGGCTCCCAGGGCCACAGGTGACGTGGTGGGCACCTGGCTTGCTCCTCCCATCCACTGCCGCCTCCTCTCTCCTCTCCCCTATTCAGGAGCTGCATCCCCGGGGCAGGGTGGACCCCGGGGGCTGCGCTCTCCTGTACCCTTGGGGACCCAGGGCTTTGTGTCTGAAACCAGCCGCTGCCGGGCAGCCTGGCCGGCTCGTGTGTTCTGTATATAGTCTGGGAGTGTAAGTTAGGATATGCAAAGAAATAGCAAGCTGCAGTTCCGTCTCTTAAGCTCTGTTCTTTTCTTCCGTTCTCAGCACTGTAGAGGGACTGAACCGAGGGCCTTCACACTGAGCTACGTCCCCAGCCCTTTTTTGGAGACTGGGTCTCACTTTACCATCCTGTGATCCTCCTGCCTCGGCATCCCAGGGTTCTAGGTTTACAGGTGTGAGTCACCGTGCCTGGCTGCAGACCATTTTATTTTATTCATTTATTTATTTTTTAAGCCTACAGCATCTGGTATTCCCAGGCGGTCTCCCATCCAAGTACTAACCAGGCCCGACCCTGCTTAGCTTCCGAGATCAGACAAGATCGGGCGTGTTCAGGGTGGTATGGCCGTAGACCATTCATTTTATTTTATTTATTTATTTATTGGGGGGGGGTCTTTTTGAGACAGGATCTTGCTGTGCAGTTTAGCCTGCATTGGCCTTGAGCTCACTTTGTAGCCCAGGCTGGTCTCGAACTTGCAACGATCCCCCTGCCTCAGCCTCCCGAGTGCTGGGCTTACAGGCTGCAGACCATTTTAGAATAGCACTTGCTGCCCATGCAGGCCACATGGGTAGCTGTAAATTTTCTAGCAGACCCATCCAAAAGGTAAAAAGAAAAAGTCAAAATAAAGGTTTTAATTTTTATTTTTGAGAAATTTTAAGGTATCCTTCATTTAAGATGGCATGAAGTTACTATAAAACATGGCAGGTGATACTTCTTTTCATCATGCTGACTCTTGAAACCTGGCATGGTTTACCTGGCAGCACACTGGAGCTCACGCCAGCCCCTCAATGGCTCAAGTCACCCCCCTTGGCTGATGGTGACCATACTGGACATCATGGTTCTAGAATGTTCTTTCTTATGTCAGTGTGAGTCTCTGTCAGGCAGCCTGCCCCAGGAGCTGTTGCACCTTCCTACAGAGGTTCTGTACCCCTCTTTTTGAATTTTGAGACAAGTTGCCAGGCTGGCTTAGCTCTTGTGACTGTCTTGCCTCAGCCTTCCAGCTAGCTGAGATTGTAGCCGTGGGCCACAGTGCCCGGCAAGCATCGCTTTCTAGAAGCAGCTGGAACGCAGGAACTGACGCGGTGGCAGGGTCGGGGCTCCTGACAGCTGGCCCCTAAGCCTCCTTTCTCCTGCCAGGCAGGATCCCAACCTGGCTTCGGGGGACTCTGCTTCGCAACGGGCCCGGGATGCACTCGGTGGGCGAGAGCAGGTACAACCACTGGTTCGACGGCCTGGCCCTGCTGCACAGCTTCACCATCCAGGACGGTGAGTGCCTGCTGGGCGACCCAGATGCCTGCGCTGAGCCCTGCCGGGCCCCGGCCTGGGCTGCACCCCGCAGGTGGAAATCAAGGCTGCCCGGGCTGGCGCTTCCGGTGCTGGCCACACCCTTGCCTCCTCCATCTCCTCGTGGCCAGTGGCTCTGCCTCTGCCTTCAAAGCCAGCTGTCCTGCGGCCTCTGTCCGAGTCCCCTTTCCTTTTCTCCCCTCCCTCCACTGTCACAGCTCTCTATAACCTGACTTCTCTGCCTCCTTCTTTTCCTCCTTTTTTTCCTTCTTTTTGAGGCAGGGTCTCACTGTGGAGCCCAGGCTGGCCTTGAGCTCATGGCAGTCCTCCTGCCTCAGCCTCCCAAGTGCTGGGATTACAGACTTTGTTCCATTATGCCTGGCTTCCTGCTTCCCTCTTACAAGGACCTGTCCAGATAACCCAAGATAACCTTTAATTAAATCACATCTACCGAGGCCCTCGGCTCCATCAGGGAACAGATTTCCGGTTCCTGGAATTAAGGTGTGGATATCTTGGGGGTGGGGGGGCTCCGTTCAGCCCTCCACAAACTCCCCCTGAGTTTCTCTGGGAGAGAGGCCAGCTCCCTTTTCGGTCACCCTGGAAAGCAATAAGCATTCTTCATGAGGCAGGTGAGAGCATGTGGGCCGTTACAGGCTTTGGATTCGGACAAACACCCAAACCAGACCAGAAGGGAGTGTTTCTAGAAAGTTCTGGCAGGTGTTCAAAGGCACAGGCACTGTGAGAGGTCTCACATGGTCTGTCTTATTCTACTCTGGAATTGGCAGGAAGAACTGGACGGGGGAATTGTGCCTTCTCTGCCCTTCTGAGCCTGGGCAGGGCCTGGGGTGCTTGGCTGCCCTGCAGGGCACTGCAATGCCCCCTGAAATGTTGGCAGCCAGGCTCCCCCTGCTTTTTGAGACAGAGGCTCACTATGAAGCTCAGGCCGGCTTTGGGCTCACTTTATAGCCTAGTTTGGTCTTGCAGCGATCCTCCTGCCTCAGCCTCCCGAGTGCTGGGATTACAGGCATGTGCCACTACACCTGGCTAGGCTCACCCTTCTTAAACTGGGCAGCACACACTCAGAAACTCTCTAGGCCAGGACCGTGGGACAAGGCGGACAGGACAGTGCATGGGAGGAGAGAGCGACACTTTCCCAAATGCACTCTTCAATGATTGCTTTAGAGAGTTTGCAGGGCGCTGCCCTAAGTGTCCCCCATATACCCCTCAGCTCAGCCTTGTGAAGAAGGCTCCCCTGGACACAGATGAGGGACCAAGGCCCAGAGAGGCCACACAACTCGCCCAGATGCATAGCGCTCAGAAGAGGTGATTTAGACCCAGCGCTGCCCCCAGTCAGAGCCCAAGCCCTGACCATCATGCCTGGGTCTCCCCACCAGCCTCTCCCCTTCTCTCCCTCAGAGTCCTCTCAGTTCAGAAGCTGACTGGGCACAGCGTGGCCACACTGACCATCTGGAACCCTCAGGGGCTCCCTGCTGTCTGACAATGGAACTGTAAACCAAAACTGTTAAGTTCCACGCTGCCCACTGGGAGAGGGGGCAGGGCAATGGGGGGCTCTAGTCTGCAGTTAACAGAGTCAGTGTGACTCCCTCCATCGGAACCCCCAGGGTGCTCTTTCCTGCTATGAACCCCAAAATCCAGGGTCGTTGGGGCTGGGGGACTCATGACCTCGGGTACCGCACTCCCCACCACCCCAGCTGCAGGCGTCAGTGTTGTACAAGGTGGCCTCCAGCCCTGCTGCCCAGGCCCCACCTCCAAGGTGATCAGAAACCTGTGGGCCGGGGCGCAGCCCTCTGTGATATTTGAAAAGCTCCCAGGTCGCCAGACCAGGTGACCCAGACCTATAATCCCGGCTAGTGGGAGGCTGAGGCAGGAGAGTTGTGAATTCAAGGCCAGCCTAGGCAGTTTAGGAGACTCTGTCTCACTTTTATTTATTTATAGATTCTGTACTTATTGATTTCTGTTTATTGCACGACTGGGGGTTGAACCTAGGGTTTTCACACTTTTTTCTCCCTTCAGTTAGGATCATTGAATTGCGCGGGCTGGGCTATAGGGTGAGTTCAAGGCCAGCCTGAGATACACTATAGTGAGACTCTGTCTAATAATAATAATTTCTTTGAAATAAAATGAGTTTGAAAAGCATGGAAAAAAATAATAATAACAACAGCCAAGAAGATATAGCAGACAGCCACAGCCATATGACACAGGAGTGTTCTTCTGAGTCTAAAATTTCAGAATAAAAGTTCTGTTTTAAAGCGGGCATGGAGAGGAATGATCCCAGCAGGGCCTTCCCCGTGAAGCTAACTCTGCACCGAGAGGGGAGGCTGGCCCACCAGCTGGGAGCGCGGGCCTGTGTGCTCGTGCACACGTGTGTTGCCTCTGCCCAGCGAGACATCACCCTTGACCCTGCTGCGGAGGCCCAGCCAGAGCACGATGTCCACTGTGTCCCTCGGGAGGAACGTGGCTACTGGGTACCTGGAGGCTGGGAGCGAGCTCAGTCCTCGCCAGCCTGGAGCCCAGGCAGAGACGTGGCTCCCCGTGGCCTCCGGCCTCTGGGCTCCTGGTGCTGCTGGATTTTTTCGAGGACAGCAGGGCCTGACCTTACATTTGGGGGAAAAGAATCCATCCTTTCAGGCTGAGCACCCACTGAGGAGCCTGGAGCACCACAGGAGGAGTGCCTTGTGGGCGCAACCTCCAGGGAGCGAGAGCCGGAGCCCCATGTGCAGCCCAAGGTCTGCCTTCCCTCCCTCTCTGCCCAGAAAGTACCGGGAGCGTGGCGTGCATCACTCCACATGGCACAGAAGACCGGGCAGGGTGCTGTTGAGTCAGGGAGATTCCCCCGGCACCCTAGAGCTCAAGAAAGCAAGGGTCAGATTGCCCGAGAGTCTCCAGGAGGAATTAGCCCTGTAGGAGTCGCTTCGCTATGTCCTCCCAAGCCACAGGGAAGCAAACGTATTGCTTTAAGCCGTGACATTTATGACCACTTGTCCCAGCAGCCACAGTAAGCTAATACAGTCCAGGACAGGGAGGGAAGCCTCAGAGGGCTACAGCAGGCTGTTCGCATCCCTGGGAGCTCTAAAAGGCTCCCCACCACTGGGCCAGAGCCATCTGGGTACTCCAGCTTGGCCTCCGCGGCCTGGCTGAGAATTCCTGCTTTATACCGTCGCCAAAAGCTGCTCCAGCTCCAAATGCATTCAACATCAGACAGAGTTCTGAGTCTCTGCAGGTACACAGGACTGGGCCTAAATGGTCCCCTGGCTGTGCAAGATAGGGAGCTGTCAACACAGGCTTCTGAAGGCAGGACACTCACACTGAATGGAATCATGGGAAAATACAGCCTTGTGGACTCATCCTCCAAGCCAGTACCTTCCCTGAGGGTTACTAACATGGAGGGAGAGATAGCAAAGTGGAGGAAGGAATTCGAACATGGCCAGGACACCAGTGTGGCAGGCGGGATGCCAGTGTGGATGGAGGGGTGCCGGCATGGACAGAGGGGTGCCAACACAGGGGGAGAGATGGTCGATGTCTGGACAATGCTGGGCAAGGCAGTCAAATGTACTTGTGCCCCAGTGCCCTTGCATAGCAATGGAGCTAAGGTAAGCACACTTTCTTACCATGCTGTCGAGTGCCAAGTGAGCAGACGTGGGTGTGTGAATGTACACACAAATGCCTGCTGTTTCTGGCCCCTGCATTAAAGGAGCCTCTCCTGAGGTCCTGTGAAGGGCCCGTGAAGCCCCCAGGGTGCTGGACATCAGTTTGAAAACTCTGTAAAAGGGCCAGCCTGAGACTAACCTGCTGCTTATCCTCCAGGTGAGGTCTACTACAGGAGCAAATACCTGAAAAGTGACACCTACAATGCCAACATCGAGGCAAACAGGATCGTGGTGTCGGAGTTTGGGACAATGGCCTACCCGGACCCCTGCAAAAACATCTTCTCCAAGTAACTGCCCGCTTTGAATCTGGTGGAATCTCACACTTTATCTTTTATATTCTCGATGGTTAAAACAACCAGCACTGGGTTCCTCTGCCCTTCTCTTTAGGGTGGGTGAAATCTCCACGCAGCTGGCCTTTGACCTCATACTCTGAGTAGTTCTTGTAAGAGAGGCCAAGAGCATTGAACAAATCATCAGACGCTCGGCACACAGCGGGTGGGTGATGGCTGGGAATCATCTGTCAGGATTACAAATGCACATTTCTCTTGACCTAGAGATCCACACTTGTGTCCAGAATGCAAATACTCCAGTTATTCATGGCTATATCTTAGGTGTCACACGACACTGAAAACAACCTAACTGTTCAGCAGCAAAAAAGTCAAACAGCCATAAAGTGATCTAAGAAAAAGCCATGCTGATGTAAAAAGAAATAAGGATTGTTAGCGAGAAAGAAAGAGATAGCAAGATGGAGAGCATGCAGTTTTATGTTTAAAAGCAGGAGGAAGCCTGTGATTAATTTTGCTTGTATAGGTGTGAAGAGACCTGAAGGGTGCTCAGGGGAGACAGGAAACAGGCAGGAAGGAGCTTCGCGCCCTGTGGGTTTGCAGGCATCGAGCTCACAACACACACGTGTGTCTGGCACACGGTCCAAGTTCAGTTCTCGGTGCGGGAAGCAGGCCTGCGGACAGCCTCTCCTTTCTGGAGTTCTCCAGAGGCAGACGGGCTGGGAAGCATCACCAGAGCTGGCATCCCCTCTCCAGGGGACCAGGAGGGCTCTGCACTAGTGGGCAGATGGGGCGGATCCAAGGGGAGGAGAAGGGAGAGGAAGAAAGTGAGACAGGCCGGAAGGGTTAGGGTTAACCCTGGTGCCATGGCCCTGGAGCATCCTTGCAGTTACACCTTTTGTCCATAGGGGGCGCTGCTCGGCATCTGGTCCAGCAGGATTTGCCAAGGGCTCCGGTAAACCCACTGGGTAAACCGAGTTTACCTTCTGATCAAATGAATGCTGAGAGCTCTTCACATTGGCTTGGTTTCTTGTTGACCTTAGTTCTGGGGATCGAACCCAGTGCCTCTGCACCGAGCTACATTCTCAGCCCATTTTTTATTTTTGATTTTGAGACAGGGTCTTGCCAAGTTCTGAGTTTTCCAAGCTGGACTGGAGCTTGTGATCCTTTTGCCTCACGGTGGTGGTCCTCTGGCAGCCACGTTGTGCCCAGGACTCACTTCTCGGCTGACACCAGGAGGTGGCATCTTTGGGGAAGCTGGTATCTGAGTCCTTGGGATCCTTCAGGTGACCCATGAGACCCAGTACTGTTCCTCCCACAGCAGAATCAGGTGTTTTAAGCACTAGGAAAGCTAAAGCCCCCTCGGGCAGCAGTCTCCAGCCAGATAATTGCAGCCACTACCTCTGGGGTTTTTTGTTTGTTTGTTTGTTTTTGTACCGGGGTCCGAACTCACAACTATGTGCTTGCCAGGCAGGCACAAATGCCGCTGAGCTCAATCCCCTGACAATATTTTTTCAGATTTTTTTTTTTTTTTTTTTTTTTTTTTTTTTTGCTTTTTGGTGCCGGGGATTGAACTCATGACCTTGTGCTTACCAGGCGGGCGCTGTAATCCGCTGAGCGGTACCCCAGCCCTGCCCCTGTTGCTTTGCTCTCCTCTCCAGAGCGTTCTCCTACCTGTCCCACACCATCCCCGACTTCACCGACAACTGCCTGATCAACATCATGAGGTGCGGGGAGGATTTCTACGCGGTCACGGAGACCAACTACCTGCGGAGGATTGACCCTCGCACGCTGGAGACCCTGGAGAAGGTACCGCGCCTCGGTCAGATGCAGACAGGGCTGTCCCTGGCGCCATCATCCTGGGCTGCCCCAGCAGCCCCAGATCCTCAATGCCCCCATCCTGTGCTGTCCTGGTTTCCCGTGGTTGTTGACACCAAGTACAACCCTGTACCATGTCACCACTTTCCCCCAACACCCGACTCTACCAAGCACCGTCCCTAAGATACTGTCCAGGGCCACAGGAGCCATCTCAGTTTGCACAAAGCACCGGATGCTCATGTACAGCGATATCTCCCAGCAAGGCTTTGCTCAGAATGTGTCCCCATCACTAAGGGATGCGTGACTGAGCCACACGCTGGATGGCTTAAGACATTTGTTCTCTGTAGTCAAGTGTGGCGGTGCAGACCTGTAATCTCAGCACTCTGGGAGGCAGAGGCAGGAAGATCTCAAGTTTGACCGCAGGCTGAGCAAATTCACAAGACTCTCAAAAAAGTAAAACAGAACTGAGAGGTTGCTCAGTACAAAGACTCTTGGTTTCAATCTCCAGTGTTGGAAAAAGCTCTCTCACAGCTTTAGAAGCCTGAAGTCTAAAGTCCAGGGCTTTACAGGGCCAGGCTTTCTTTGGAGGCTCTAGGGGAGGTCCTTCCTGTGGCAGCCAGCAACCCCACCCAACGACACATCTCTCCGACCTCCCCCTCTGTCACCAGGTGCTGTTCTTCTGGTGGGTTCTTGGGTTTGAATTTCCCACCTTTCATAAACACACAAGACACTGGCTTGGGGACGCCCCAATGCACCGTAACCTCATCTCTGCCTACATCTACGAACACACTAGAACCAAACGGGGTCACACTCACAGGTCCCCGGGCTGGAACTTCCGGTCTTTTTAGTGGACTCAGTCCTGCCCATAACCGTGCACAGTGCTGGGTACTGGGGAGGCTCAGTCAGGCCGAGTCCCAGCAGCCCTGCCCGTGTCCACCTGCAGAGGGAGGCCTTAGGCAGAGAGCAAGACAAAACACTCGAGTCCTAGCAGCTGCCTTTCCTGGGCAGAATCAGGTCCACACCTCTGTGGAAATCAATAGACCCGGCTTCAGTTTCCTCCAGTTGACTGCTCAGAGCCCCGGCGTCTTCACAAGGCTTTTCATCGATCTGGGAAAGATCTGCCTTTCTTACCTGAGAAATTATGCCCAGCTCCCTCTCAATGGGGCGGCCTGGATCTAGCTGGTGTGATGTCTGTTTTCCACAGGAGGGGAGGTCCTGGGAGCTGCAGAGCCAGACCTGACTCCTGGCTGGAGATCGCACTTTTCTGGAATGGGCGAAGAGTGGACAGTGGCCTCTGGTGACCCCATTCCTCAGCTTTGTTAGTGGAGATTCTCTTTGACCAAAGGGTTTGGTGACCTCTGTTTCCAGAGTAGCACTTGGGGACAGGCCTGGAACGTACTGCCTCTGTGGGATGCAAAAGAGGCGACTTTAAATAACTCACCCGGGCAGAGGCCAGGTGTAGCTGGAAGGCTGCAAACTCTGTCCCTGTCAGGGCTGGGAGCCTTCGATGACAAGGACCCCAGCAGGGTCAGGCTGCAGTATGGGAGTCATGGCCACCAAGCTCACTCCGTCTCCTGATTCCTGATACCCCAGGAGGCCCTCCAGACACGAGGCTCAAGCAGGCGAGAGTGGACATCCATCCTCTCTGGATGCAGACTTCCCAATCAGGAAATGTGCAAAAGTACCATCCTCCAGACCTAGAATCAGTCGGGCCTTCACGGGACTTGGCCTCTCCCCTTTACAAAGCCAGGTGGCTTCGGTATTTTGCAGGTGGATTACCGGAAATACGTGGCGATCAATCTGGCAACAGCACATCCACATTATGACGGGGCTGGGAATGTTCTCAACATGGGCACATCCATTGTGGACAAGGGGAAGACAAGATACGTGATGTTTAAAATCCCTGCCACAGTGCCAGGTAAGTCGTCCTCCAGAGCCCAGGGAATCCTACGCCCAGAAGGACTCCTGCTGAGGAGTTCTGGCTTTCACTGGTGACAAGCATCCATATGGTCCTTTCCTCCAGTGACCATTCATTCAGATGGCCATAGGTACAGGTTTTTTCTTTAGAAGGAAAGAGACGTTTCTGGGACTCTTTTTGGATGAAGAAAGCCTCTTCCGTATTTTAACCTCCTTTTTCTTTGGGCTCCTCATCAGTAATTCACTATTTACCCACCTATCCATCCACCCATGTACTGCCCACCCATCCACTACTCATCCATCCATAAATCCACCCACCACCCATCCACCAATTCACCCATCTACCTACCCATCCATACACCCATCCATTCATCCATCTACCTACCCGTAGGTAGGTACTCACCTACTCATCCATCCACTATCCACCCATCCATTCACCTATTTACCTACCCAGCCATCCAGTCATCCATCCACCTATCTATCTGTTCACCAGCACATCTGCCCACCATCCATCCATCTATCCACCTATCCACCCATCCACTCACCCATCTATCATCTATCCATCTACCTGGTCATCCACTTATCTATCTGTAACCTTTTTTCTAGGCTCCAGTTCATTATTTCATTCATTTATCCATTATCCACCCATTTTTCAAGTCTTCTGCACATATCTGCATGGCAGCACTCTGGCACCCACTTTGACCTGAGCCTTGTAGCCAGGATTCTGGGGTTGTTTAGGGGGTTCAGCCCTTCTAGGCTCTGCTCCAGATCCCCACCCTGTTCTGCAGGCCTTCTGGATCTTCTCCACACAGGGCTGGATCCTGGAGCAAAGCCCAGGCCAGGAGATTGCATGCTCCTGAGGGGGATGAGGGCGAGGCTCCTGGCCCATGTTTGTCCAGGACCCTCCTGGGAACCACACCCAGGAGACTGGGCCGAGGGCAGCTGCACAGGACGCAGAGCTGCCTCACCTGACCTTCTGGTTCGGAAAAACCAGTTTCCATCTGTGATCCTGCAGGTTGCTGCACCCCCACAGTCCTGTAGAAACTTCTGAGCAGGGGCCAGGCTGTGCTGGGAGCCACAGCCCTTGAGGTCAGCAGGAACATGAGTGTCCTTGTTAAAGGAAATGCCCATTAATCAGGCCAATCCTGTAGACAGTGTCTAGCCCAGGATCCTAGAATGTTGGGGGGGGGGTCTTCTAGGCATTTGTGTTTGTCTCCTCCTACTGCAGAGGAGGCTGAGGCTCAGGGGATTGATCAGGTGACATGCCTGCGGTCACACGGCTGCCAGGGTCCTCTGAGGCCACACAAGCAGCCACTCTGAGTCCTGCTCAGAGCTGGGGCTCCCAGGCGTCTTTCCCCATCCGAGCCTCCCAGGCCGGGGTGCATGCCTCTCCCTCTGCACTGCGCCCCACCTGTGCTGTAAAGAAAGAACCAGCCCACAACCACACAGCGTCCCTCCCACCCACCAGCTGCCTACACCGAGCACAGGTGGCCACAGAGGTGGGGACGCTTGCAGGGAACTCATTAAGAGCCTGCCGCAGGCCTGGGCAGGGAGGCCCTTGGCTGGGGCTGAGTCATTCTTGCAGAGGAATGGGAAAGCCATTCGGAAAGCCATCTGTGTTGGGATCAGCGTGGTGCCGGGCACCACCGGGGGCTCAGACTACTGTAGGGGTACGGGGGGGGGGAGCTCTGCACCCCGTAGTGTGGTGCTTCATCCTCTTCTCACCCATACCCCCTGAGGGCCATGCCTCTTAGTAAAGGAGCAGGAACCCACCCATGACCAAGGGGCTGCATCTGGACTTTGACCGTGGTGAGAGACCTTCTCCAAGTCCCAGCTCCCAGCTGTGAGAGGGCATCCTGCAGCCCAGCCTGATGGCCACAGAACAAGCAGCGCTCAGAATACACTTCGCCATTAACCCCCTCTCGGTGCTGCCCCCACTGGGACACGTTCATCCTGTCATTCCCGCCACTTCCTGCAGCAGCTCTGAAGTCCTGTTTCCTGAGCGTCTTTACAAGTGTAACTAGAAATGCAGCAACCGCTGCCAAGCTCATCCAGAGGAAAGGCAGGCTCCCGAGAGCGGCCGTCGGGCCTCCTGCGCCTACCCACTGGATCTGGCTCCTCTTGAAAAGTCGGAATGACCACAAAAAGTAAACATTTTGAAAAGGACACGATGCAGCCAAGATGCTGCCATGAAAGACACTCATGAAAGAGGACTTCCCGAACTGCTTCAGAAAGTTGGCAGTTTGATGGGATAAATGTTTTGACAGGGGGGTATTTCGAGAGAGATTAATAGCAATCTTTTACTGTAACAAATTCTCTTAAAAATATTTTCCCATTCACTGTATTTTTCAGTGGCACCCCATACCTGAAAGCACCTGTCACCGTAGGTAGTTGGTCCCTTCCTTGACGTTTTGTAACAGGCAATGCCAGGACACATTTGTGGGAAACCTGTGGACTACATGCCAGATGCTGGTTCCCAGAAAAAAACCAGGACCTAGGCCGGGAAGTCCACCCATCCCTGTGGAGCTCTGGAAACTCAGAGCCGGGGCTGGGCACCAGGCCCAGACTCCAGCACCCTGAGCTCAAGTCCACATTTATCACGGTCCCGACGACTCAGGCACCCAGGAAAGTCAGCAAGGTGCTGGACTGGAGCGGGGTGCAGCACCCGCTTCTGAGCAAGGATCCCACGGTGAAGAGTTAAGGTTGTGAGGCTATCAGAAGCCTCCCCTGGGCCCCTGCAGATAAAACCAAAAGCAGCCATAGAGGCTCCACCAAGAGTGAGCGGAAACCTTGGTCCAGATATGACTTTATCTGCAGAAACAGGCGGAGCCCCATTTCACCCCAAGCTGCCATGGGGACCCCTGGCCTACAGCAATGGTTCTCACTGTGGAGAACTCAGCTGACCACCAGGTGACCAAGCGGGAAGCTCGGGGGGCCCTGAATCTGGCCCACTTGCCAGCCCCTTCTCCAAGGTTCTGCTTAGCAACACGGTGGGCCTGCAGCTAATGACGGTGGCCTTGGGGCCTCCTGTTCCCCAGTGATTCTGAGTCTGTCTCTCCTCCAGAGGCCAAGAGGAAGGGGCAGAGTCCCCTGAAGCGCACAGAGGTGTTCTGCTCCATCCCCTCCCGCTCGCTCCTCGCCCCCAGTTACTACCACAGCTTCGGGGTCACCGAGAACTATGTGGTGTTTCTGGAGCAGCCATTCAGGTTGGACATTCTCAAGATGGCGACTGCCTTCCTGCGGGGAGTGAGCTGGGCGTCCTGCATGGCTTTCCACAGGGAGGAAAAGGTGAGGCTGCCCTGAGGCCAACGCCACCACAGGACCAGGCAGAGGGGGGCTCTGCTTAGGGGAGCAAGCTGCCTGGGAGGAGAGGGTGTGAGGAGCACAGTCTCTCTGAGACAGCACCAACCTTCCAGAGAGCTCTGAGCTCCGATGGCCCTTCAGGGAGCTCCCAAGTTAAGACCAGGGGCCAGGCCTTTAGATCCTCACTTCAGTGGGTCACTGAATACACACAGTACTGGGAACAGGGTGTGACCGTGGGGATTGCAGCCAGGTCCCCAAACAGCCCCACAGGCCCAGCCCAGAGGGAACAGGCCCGCATCCTGAGGATACCTGGGTCCCTCACAGCCTGCACCCCCTGGACAGGCCCCTCTGCACCTCGGCTACCACAGGCTGCTGTGGGGGACACCGGTGCTGGGGTGACGGAGACTCGTAATGCTAGGGAGCTCCGCAGGATGATGGCTCAGCAGAAACAGGACTTCTGGTGCAGGAGCACCCAAGGGTTCACAGTACGCGTCTGTATGTACGTGTGGATACGTTATGTGTATGGGTATACAGGGTACACTAGAAAATCACCCTGAGTGTTTACAACATTTTAAATTTGTATTACATTATGACTTGTTACATTATTTATTACATCACCACTAGCCCCCCTCAGCTCAAACGCACTAACCCCATCGTGCTGCCTCTTTCTGAAGCTGTTCCACACGCTCTGTTTCCTGAGTGTCGTTAGTTTGCTGTCACGGCTGCCTCCCTGCCTGGATCCATTCACACACTTACCTGTCTTGGTCTTTCCACCTCGGGGCGGAGCCGGAGGTCACCCAGCACCAGGTCCAGGGCTCCTTCAGAGAGTGACACGGTGATGGGAGAAGCAGACAGGAAGGGAGGAGCAGAGGGGCGTGTTTCAATTTGTCTTACTGTGTAAATTTTGAAAATGTAGGCGTTTTGACCACAGCACGCCGCACTCTGCTGCCGTCCCTTTGTGGGAAACACAAGTCGTTCTCACTGGTGCCTGTTCGAACAGCACCCGAGTGCAGAAAGCCCGTGTAAGCCCCCTGGCCTCTTCCCTGTCCTGCCCCAGTGGGAGGGGCCGCTGCCCCAGGACATCTGTCCAGGCCCTTCCTGAGCACTTGTGCACGCCGGCCACCCTCCTGGAGGGTTCCTGCCCCATCTCGGGGAGTGAAGCTGTTTGTTGAGAGCCCCGCCTGCTCAGAACCTCCCCGTCTTCCTCTGAGGCAGATCCACAGGCCTCGCTCAGTGCCCGCTAAGTCCCCGCAATGCCGCTCTTACCCTGCGTATTTCACACAGTCTCCTGGACTGAATCCACCAGACACGTCCCTGCCTCAGGGCCTTTGCATTTTCTGATCACTGGAATGGCTCAGCTTCCTTTCTCCTCTGATCTGGGTCAGCACACACCCATACTGCACCCTGCTTCTCTTTTCTCAGGAGCCTCCAGCACCCCAACATGCTGCAGATGCGACATTTATGGTGGGCTCCCCGCTCTCAAGTGTGCAGGCTCAGGGAAAGCAGGGTGGGGCACTGTCTCCCTCGCCCTGAGCTCCATGTGCAGGACACAAAGCAGGACGAGAAGCTAACTGTGTCCTCCATCAGCCCCCTGGACGAACTCTGGGGCTCCCTGTGCTGAGGGGTCCCCCAGGCCTCTCATCTGTGTCCCTAAAGGGCCCCCAATCCTCAGAGAATCCTTGAGGGAGACCAGTGAGAGTGGAAGTGGCAGGTGACAGCCCAGGGAGGCTCTTGAGTGCCCCTGGAAGACAGCTCTGTCCCAGGCCCCCATGGCAGGCACAGAGACCGGAGTGACGGGAAAGAGAAACCCATCAAGCACTCCCCAGCTACACCGAGCCCTGGGCTGCCAGGGGCCCTGCTCTGTGTTGCTCCCAGCACTGCAGCCCGGTTCTAGGGCAGCAGAGGCCGCTGGACCGGAGGAGCGAGGCTCCCTCCCTCTCTGCCTCCCTCGTGGGGGCGACTGGGCGTGAGCCACCACGAGGAGGAGGAACAGGAGATGTGGCTCGCTGCCACCCAGGGTGACACTGGCTGGTGACACCAGCCACATACCCCAAGACCTCATGAGCTAACATACTGCCAGGCCAGAGCTGAAGTCACCCCAGGGTTGCAGGGGTCCTGCGATGATCAGGAGGCCAGCTCTGCTGAGCAGTGGGGGGACGGAGGGGCCCGGAGAGCACAGGGTTCGGGGCTCTAGTCTCTGATGGAGTGTGGCGCTCGGCAGGCTCTCCCCACCTTGGTCATTGCCAGAAGTTGGTATGTCACTGCCCACCTAAGTCACAATCAGTGGGAAAGGAAAAGAGCCCCTCCCCCCAGCCCCTGAGGTCTTCTGTTTTGTTTATATGTTTCGGCTTTTTTGAGACTAGGTCTCACTATGTAGCCCAGGCTGTCCTGGAACTCAAAGCAATCCTCCTGCCTCAGCCTCCTGAATGCTGGGATTATAGATGCTTGCCACCATGCCCGACTCCCTCTGTGCATTTTAAAATAAGATCACAGCAACAAACCAAGCACTTTGCCTGTTGTGCTGTTTTGAGGGACAGAGACACCAAATGGTCACAAGCTAGTGTCACCAGATGCCACCACACAGGACACAGAGAGCTGACCATCCCCTGGGCCTCTTCTTTCAGACCCACATTCACATCATCGACCAGAGGACCAGAAAGCCGGTACCCACCAAGTTCTACACGGACGCCATGGTGGTCTTTCACCACGTCAACGCCTACGAGGCAGACGGCTGCATCGTGTTCGACGTCATCGCCTACGAGGACAGCAGCCTCTACGACCTCTTCTACCTGGCAAACCTGAACCAGCACTTCGAGGAGAACTCCAGGCTCACGTCGGTGCCCACCCTCCGGCGGTTCGCTGTGCCTCTCCACGTGGACAAGGTACGGGCCTCCCAGAGCAGCCGGGCACACGGCGGGTCCTGAGATCCAAAATGCACCACTCTCAAAGAAAGGCAAACAATGCCTTTCACTGGTTTTTCAAGCATGGTCTGTTTCTGTGCAGAAACTTCAGAAAGTACAGGTATTCTGAGCTGCCTGTGGGGTACACATAATCCCAGCACCCGGAGGCAGAGGCAGAAGGATCCCTGCACGTTTAAAATCAGGTTTGGCTACATAGTGAGTTCAAGGCCAGCCTGAACTACACAGGGAACTCTTGTCTCAAAAAAAATTATTTTAAAGTACAGGCAAATTAAAAGGAAAAAAATCACCAAGCAAGGTGGTGCATGACTGTAATCCCAGCACTGGGGAAGCTGAGGCAGGAAGATTGTCATGAGTTTGAAGTTAGGCTTGGCTACCGTGAGTTCAAAGCCACCTGCAGTACATAGTGAGAAAAAAGAAAAAAATCCCAGTAAACCCGCATCAATCACTGGGAGACGCTTGCCTTGTCCTCCTGTGGTCCATTTGTTCACACACCACGCAATTCTCCCCCGCAAAGGCTTTAATTCAGAGGCTTTTGATGCAGTCCCAGAGCCACTGCGATCAATGTTAGACATTTTCATCACCCCAGAAGGAACCCCCAGGCCCTCAGCTGCCGCCTCAGAGCCTGTTTCCCGGCCCGCCGGGAAGATTCGGCTTGGTGGTCGCAGGACCAGCCTCTGTGCTGGCCTCTCGTGCCCAGCAATTTTCTAACTTTTGTCTACTGCTTTTTTTCACCTGCTGTATGTTGGAGCACCTCTCCTTGGCATTAAATATTCTTTGATGGCATCATTTTAAACTTTTGCTTAATAGTCACTGGCGGGGATTCGTCACCATCTGCTAACCCAGTTCCCTGCCATCCAGCAGTTCTGCTCCTCTGGGGCCACGAGCCCCGGGCCGGACTCGTCCTTAATTAGGTGACGCTGTCCTGGCTCTGGACGGGAGATAGGCTGCTGGCTCCAGAGCTCACTGACTTCATGACTTAATTAACTTAAATGAAAGCTCATTCAGTTCAATTACATTCTGATGGCTCACATTTACCGACTGCAACTGCGTGCCAGCTGCTTGGCCAAGCGTTTCGCCTTCCTGACATCACTGGAGCGAAACAGCCTTTAGGGGAGAGGTCCCCATGCCAGCCTCCCCTCTGGGGTGCAGACCGGAGGTGAAGGGAGGTGCCCAAGGTCACACTACCAGCCAAGATAGGAACCCGCGCTTCCCTCTCCAAAGGCGCACCTGCTAGGGGTCGGAATTGTGCTGAGTCTGACCCCTGGATGGACCCCCTAGACAGAGCTCCAGGGCTCTGCAGCTTAGGGACAGAGCTCCAGTACCCAGGGAGCTTTCCCGTTCTCACTGTCTGGCCGGGAAGCACAGACATTGAGCTAATTTCCTGCCCCACGACAATCAAGGAGCCAGGATTTGAACCCCAGTTTGTCTGTTCCCACATGGGGCCCTCTCCTGTCTTTCTAGAATTTCCCCAAATGTGCGCCTCAGTTTCACACATGTAAAACTTTGTTGATATGTTTTGCTCAACTCACTCGACTCACACAGCAGGACCCACTGAAAGCCCGCGAAGCTCACTGCAAGTCCGCCCAGGGCTGCTGTGGCCCAGGCTGGTCCTTAGGGAGAGTTTTAGGGGGCGGTAGGCAGCTCGCCTAGTGTGGGCGAGGCCTGGCTTCCTCTCCTAGCATCCCATCAATAAAGGACAGAGAGATTTTAAAATGCACTAAATGCACTGTGGTAGACGCTGGGCTCCCCCAGTCACGTGAGCACATGCCACACCCATCCAGTCATCCCAGAGCCCTGGGCCTGCTCCCCTGACCTGGAAAACCCCACAGAGTAGTGCTGGGCGTGGAGGATGGGGGAGTGCGGAGGGAGCAGTCTCCCAGTCCAGGAAGGACAGGAGCATCACAAACCATGGGTGCATCGCTGCCGACCTCCTCCCGGGATGGTGGAGAGAGGACAGCCCTGCCTCCTTTGTCTGATTACCTTCGGGGAAGCAGGTCCCTTCCCAGACACCAGGCTTAGCAGATGAGCCCGGAAATATTAAAAGCCAATATGCAGCCGTCTGCTGCTTTGAAATTAGCAAAGAGCAGGCCCTGGGATGGGCAGCTCTGGCCACGCTGTCTAATTGCTACTTATTGTCCCTTTAAAATGTTTTCTTTACTTTTAAGTCCCTGGGCAACCCGGATAGGGACGCAAGGAAGTCAAGCAGGAGGGCCTGGCGTGCAGGCCCTTGAGAGCTGCAGAGGTCCTTCTGGTCAGGGACCTTCACGTGCAGCTGTCCCCACCGCCTGCCACGCTGGCCTATCCCGTCATCCCGCCTGCTGCACACATTGGAATCACCTGCGAGCTGGGCCAGACCACCAGCCCCTGGTCAGTCTAGGGGCTTCAGAGCTGCTAGCGGGGAGCTAAAAGTGGCAGCACATGCCTGTAATCCCAGCACTCAGGAGGCTGAGGCAGGAGGATTGCCTTAAATTCGAGGGCAGCCTGGACTACATAGCAAGTCCATTTCAGAAAAACAGCGTGTGCGTGCGAGCACACACACACACACACACACACACACACACACTCGGAAGGGGAAGGGCTCAGTCCACAGGTCTAACGTGCAGCCAGGACCTCCCGAGTTCTTCCTCCATGAGACCCGGCATCTCTGCTCCCATTGGTGGTGGCCTGCACCCTGGATGCTCGGACACAAATTCCACGTGGGCAGCTCTGCAGTCCCCCCTACCTGCCAATGCACAGCCTCCAAGAGGCGGACAGCAGGTCGGCCTGGCTCAGAGGACCCTGCTGAGGCTCAGCCCCTGGGAGCGCATGAATGAACAGTGGGTGGACGGGTGAACTGTGAAGCCAGGTCTCTGAGCACGAGGGGCTTCCTTTGGCCCTCGGTGCCAGCCTACTGGAGCAGGCCTGCCAAGTCACACTCCTGAGTTGGGGCCAGCCCAGGTCAGAGGAAGGCAGGGTGGGGGCCTCTGGGCATCCAGGCCTGGCAGTGGGGGGCAGCAGTGTCCAGGGCAGGGCTGGGCAGGGAGGTGGTGCTTAAGCCAGCACAGGCTGAGTGCAGTCAGCAGGGCTCTTGGAGGGCACCCTGGGCCACACCAGCAAGTCAACAAGGGGTCACCGGAGGGGCACGGCGGACCTAGAAGCAGTGGCTTCAACTCCTAGGGGTGAGATGTTCGCAGGGCCCGGGTCCTGCCCACCCCTCAGCCCTGGATGCCTGGGCATCCCGGCCTGCTCCGTGCCTTCCTCTGTCCCCAAAGGGCAGGTGTGCACTGGACCTGGTGTGCTAGCTGTGCATCCATCAGTTAGGGACGTGGCCTGGGGTGCGTAAGGAGGGAGCGGGGCCCAGAGGCTGGCTATCGTGGGGTCACCATGTCCACCTCTGAGCCCCCTGGAGTTCTAGGAAATTCCAAACTCAGCCTCCCCCTCCATGTGGACCAACCTGCTGCATCCAGAACATTCTTCCTGCTCACCCTCGAGATGCAGCCGGTGCGCCTGAGGAGCTGACATTTTCATTTAACTTAAATTAATTAAATTTATACGTAGCATGGTGATCACAGGCAGGTCCATAGCCCCAGCACTCTGGGAAGCTGAGGCAGGAGGATTGCGAGTTGGAGGCCAGCCTGGGCAACTTAGTGAGACCCTGATCCCCAAAAAAAGGAAACATAGAAAGATGGAGCTCATTGCGAAGGGCCTGGGTTCAATCTCCAGTTCCACTAAAAATGTAAATGAATTAATTAAATTTTAACACATGGCCAGTGGTCCCGCAGCATCAGGAAGGTCATTGTGTCCTCACCAGCACACCAGGTCAGTGGACGCCATTTGTTCTCCTGCACACTGTGGACTCTGTTAAGTGCTTTGCTAACTCACCTCACTTCTGAGTTATTTCTCATCTGCAGATCAGAGCGGGTAACTTATCGGGATTCGAATGTGCAGCCATCTGACTCCGAGTTCCCGCCTAGAATGTATCTGGCCCTGAACCAGGGCTTTGCACAACTGTAATCTAACTTAATCGGAACACTCACCCTCAGGTCAGATCACAGCAACTTTGTCACCCGCTACACCCCGTTTCCCAGGTGGGGAGACTGGCGCTGTCAGGGCCCACTTGGGGCCACACGGGGAGACGTAAAGCAGAGTTCACTGGAAGCCGTGATGTGGGGCTGGGGAGACGCCTGGGGCTGCTGCTCCCCTGAGAAATCCCGCAAAGGTCGGGGCGGGGCGCGTCTCAGAGCCAGTCTTCGGGGGGCTCTGTGGAATCCTGGCAGGGAAACGATGTCTTCCCAAAGCTGAGCCGAAAGCAGCTGAGTCACGCTTGCTTGCTGGGGACTGCTGTGTGTGTGGAAAAATCAGCGCATCCCTCAACCAGTCTGACCAGTTTCAGGCTGGAGTCCTGTGAGGGAGCGACTCCCTGAACGTCCAGGCCGAGGCATGCCCAGGGGCCTGTCGCTGTCATGCGCCTGGCTGTCGAGCTGCACGCATGTCTGTTTGTCAGATACCAGCAATGTGCAGGGCGCCAGGCACAGTGGGTCACCCGCCCCACCTCATTCAGCTCTTACAGTGCATTCACCCGCTGTTCATTGGACAGTTATTTCCCTGGGGCACTGTGCCCCATACACTGCCTTCATGAAGAAGACAAGTGTGACCGAGGGAAAGGCTCCTTAAAGGAGGTAATTGCAATTTGGGACAATTGCCTCAGAGACGCTACAGGTTCAGATCGAGTTGCAGGGAAGAGAATGTTTGAACAGAGACCCGCAGCATGGGAATGGGTCAGCCTCAGGGCCTTTGCACTTGCTTTGCCCTCTCCCCACAGTGCTCTTAGGGGTAGAGGAATCCTATGCAAAGGCCAGGACCTAGGCTCTGTTTCTCTTGGGTGACTTTGGACTAGCTGCTTTTCTCTTCTGAGCCTGTTTCCTCTTCCATATATTGAAGGATTAAACAACAGGAGTATCTGAGAAGACCCGAAGTTCTACCACCAAGAAGCAGTAAGCTTTCCCTTCCTCTCAGAAAAAAAAAAAAAAAAAAAAAAAAAAACTGCTATCATTAGAATGGATTGCATTTAATCGTAAAAGCCACTTTGGAAAACTTGGTGTGAGGAGAAAAAGTTTAAATGAGAAACCAGCCACAACAAAGATCTGTGGTCTGGTTCCTTGGTGTTCTGTAGAGACCCCACCAGTGGTGGCAGCAGTATAGTAACAGTAATTATCATCACAATGGTAATAAGAATAAACACACAGTTACACCCCCACAGCTACAGTTTTGCTCTCCACAGTTCAGTTACCTACGATCAATTGTGATCCAAAAACATTAAATGAAAAACACTGACATGGACGATGTGTAAGTTTTACATTGTGTGCTGCCCTGAATAGCAGGATGACATTGCAAGCCGTCCTGCTCTGTGCTCCTGGGATGTGTTCAGTGTATCCAGGCTGTATATACTACCTGCCCGTTAGTCATCCAGGACTGTGCTACCATCCTCCAGCACTTCCTGCTAGCCAGAGACTCCTGTAAACTACCTGTGGGGATAACCTCGTTTAACCTTCTCAGTAACTCCGAGGCGCCTACACTAATATCATCCTCAGTGTACACAGGGGGGACCTCAACGGCAGCGTGGTGAGCACGTGGGAGGCACTAACTGGTGGGTGATCAATAAACACTGCTCACGCTGAATGCTTCTCCTGGGTCATGAGGAGGGGAGTCAGGTGTTGTGCAGAAGAAGCCGAATTGCACCTTGAGACCAAGCGATGTCCTTGAAAGTTGTTTGTTTCTCCAATAACGTTTATCTCGTGTTTGTTCCCATTTCAGCGGTGACACGTTTTTTCACAGGGGAACGTATGGGAAGTGTGGAAAAAGACCTGAAAGTCCTCATAGTCCTGTGCTGTTGTTAGTAGATGGTCTGTTTCTCCCAGTGGCTTTTTGGTGTCCCTTGTGTATGTGGCAGAGCCCAGCCTGCGTATGTAATTTGTGCCGAGGTTTTTACTCTGTGCTGTACCACAAGCATTCCTCATGCTGTTGTAAACTCTTTGTGAAAGCACCCTCTTAATGACAGGTGAATCAGCCAGGATTTTAAAAGTGAGAGCCTGTCTTCTAGGCACCTTCATTTTTCCAAAATAAGAGAAGAGAGCTCCAGGGTTAGTCCTGGTTCTACTGCCCACCAGCTATGCGACCTTGGGGGAGTCACTTTAAGTTGCCAATGAGTAAAAATAAGGATAATAAAATAGCTGCTTCTGCTAGTTCATGTGAGCCAGGCAAGAGGATGCATGCTATCTAGCCAAATAGAGGATATACACTAAAACACTAAAAGCATTTTCTACATGTATAAAGTAAAGGGAAGGTTTGCTCAAGTGACATCTCTCTCTCTCTCTCTCTCTCTCTCTCTCTCTCTCTCCCTCTCTCTCTCTCTCCCTCCCTCCTTCCTTTCCCACTGATTCTTTTCAGAATGCAGAAGTGGGCTCAAATCTAATCAAGGCGGCATCCACAACAGCAACCGCCCTGAAGGAAGGGGACGACCAGGTGTACTGCCGGCCCGAGCTGCTGTGCCAAGGTGCGATCCATCTCTCATGCCGAGTCTGGGGGGAAGATATTAACAGCGACTGCAGAGGTGTCTGTCTGTACATGACACCTCTGTACACTGCAGGACAAGGACTCTGAGGAAAGGCTCTCGGGCTCCCAAGGAAGCACTTGGGGACCTTTCTCTCTCAGATAGCTTCCTACACCCCTGTTCCGATGACATTCACAGGTGTCACCTGCAAAGGACCACTGGTCCCTACTTCTGTCTCTGCATGGTCCCAGCGCCCAGGAAATGGGTTACAGACCCATTTTTGAGAAGGCACTGCCCGGAGAGAGATAGAGCTAAGCGCAGGGAACAAACCCCCCAGGGCAAGATCCACGACCGGGGCGTGGGGCTTCTCCACCTGGGCCAGGTTGGTGCAGGGGCCAGAAAGCTCTTGGTGGAGGCTGTACAGGGCTGCCACAGCACCCCAGCAGCAACCTCAGCTTTGCCCACTGGATGCCACAGGGTCTGCACCCGAACCAGAACAGGCAAGTGAGGGAGCCGATGGAGCTGTGCTCTGGGTTTAAATCCACCGGCTGGTGCAGGGCTGGGTGCATAGCTCAGGGTGGAGCCCTTGCCCAGCGCATGCAAGGCCCTGAGCTTGACCCCAAACAGCAAAAACTAACACATTTTTACCTGTAAACCCCATGAGTTTAAAGCCAGCATTATAAAAAAGAAGAAGGCTGGGGATGTAGCTCAGTGGCATAAGTGCCTGCCTGGCATGCGTGAGGTCGTGAGTTCTATCCCCGATACCACACACACACACACACACACAAAACCTGAGGCAGGATTGCAAATTCTAGCCCCGGGCAGGTAATTTAGCAGTTTAGTGAGATACTATTTCAAAATAAAAATTGGGCTAGAGTTGTAGCTCACTACCAAAGGCTTGATTCAACCCCCAGTACCACAAAAAGAGAGAGAGAGACAGACAGACAGACAGACAGACAGAAAAAAAGAGAAAAAGAACCGCTCAGGGGAGGGTCCCCGCCTTCCTCAGTGTTGAGCACAGTGCTGCAGACTCCCCTTGGCCCACCTCGCACTTGTTATTAAAATCCTTCACAAACATTAGTTTTACACGTTATTGAAACATAACGAATGAGCTTTATTTATATTCCCCACTGATGCTCTTCCCTGTGGTCTCCAAATTGCTCTTCACACCCACATGCGCACACGCGCACACACACACACACACACACACACACACACACTTTTTTGGAAAAAGATCTTTGAAAAATTGTGGCGGCCTCCAATTTTAATCACACAGTCTGTTCGACTTCTGTCTTGGGGATTTAGAGGTGCGTGTGCCCTGCACACCCCAGGTTTCCGCTGCCCGGCACCCCAACTTTGGAACAGAGGCAGGGTAAAGGTCAGGGCCTCCTCTCCGGGCTTGGCCCACCCAGCTGGGTCTCGGTCAAGTTCAGGGGCTCCTTTGGGAGCTGCCTCTGCGGGAAGGAGGCCAGGGGGCCGAAAGGGAGATTCTCCCACAGCCGCCTGGCTGTTTCTCTCCAGGCTTGGAGCTCCCCCGGATCAACTACACCCGCAACGGGAAGCCGTACAGATACGTGTTCGCCGCCGGAGTGCAGTGGAGTCCGATCCCAACCAAGGTAGGGGGTCCCCGAGTGCCCGAGTGGTCTGCAGGTCGTGAGACTGGGTGACGGTGATCAGAAAACAGGGTCTGCGGGAGTCAGGGACCCTCCACGAGCAGGAGGATGAGGACGTGGGAGTCAGCGTGGGACCCCGTTCCTGCCTTTAAGAACTCGCTCACCCTCTTGAGCGGAGGAGGGTGTGGCTGGCGCTGGCAGGGGTTCTGCATTTTAAGCTACTGTCTGTCAGTACTAACTATGCCTCAGCACTGTGCAAACGGCCACACAGAACTCTCTTTTCCTTCAGAACGTCATTCTTCAATAACTTAGCATTTTTAGAAATTTCACACAGTGCAGAAACGTACAAGGCCAAAAATTAAGGTTCCCAGACACACACATATGCACACACACCCTGAGCCACTCCCCACTAATCCTACACTTTAAATGGGACAGGCCTGGGGAGGTGAGCAGAGGCCCAGGATTTTCACTTTCCTGTCTGTTTGGTTTGCAGTCCTGGGGACTGAACCCAGAGCCTTCACAGTGAGCTACATTCCCAGCCCTTTTTAATTTTGAGACCCAGTCTCCCTACATTGCTCCAACTGGGCTCAAATTTATGATCCTCCTGCCTCAGCCTCCCAGAATACTGGGTTTAGAGGCCTTGGTCACCATGCTCCTCTAAATATCCACCTTTAAAACAACAAAGAAAAGTATATCATTACTGTTGGCATTTAACACAGTAGTTTTTTGGGTTTTTTAGCATATACAATCCCAGTGTAGTGCTAAATACAAAAAGAATTCAGGGCTTTTCTGAGACTTCATGGTCTGCAGTCAGCTGCGGGACAGCCAGAACTGCAGAGGTTTGAAGGTGGAGGAGGGGAGTTCAGGGGAGCCAGAAGTCGCCCCCCCCCCAGGGCCTGCACGCCTTCCTGTCCCTGGGGAGCTGCTGTTTGCAAACAAGTGACTCCCTCGAGTCCCCTCTTCTTCTTCTGCTCACAGATACTGAAATACGACACCCTCACCAAGTCATCCTTGAAATGGGGAGAGGAGAGCTGCTGGCCGGCTGAGCCCCTGTTTGTGCCCGCGCCAGATGCCGAGGATGAGGACGATGGTGAGACCCCCGGGGAGGCCAGCCTGGTGGGGACCGCTGAGCAGAGGCCTCGTCTGGGGACTTCTGACCCACCCAGCTAGGGAGGCCCTCTGTGCAGTCAGGCTCTGTGTGCTGTCCACTCTGGCTGCTGACCCTCATCGCAGGTGCTCGGCCCCCGGAGCCCTGGGCTGTGTGCTTCTCAGGAGGTGCATGGAACTCGCAGAAAGCCATTCTCAGGGCTGGGGTTCACTGCGGTGAAAGGCTGTGGGGTTCAGGGGACACCTGCCGTCCTCTTCTGGGGGAGCTGGAGACAGCATGAACATCTGACGGGGTGGGGTACACTGAGCCCCAAGCAGTACCAGCCAAGGAGCTTCCCAGAGCCTCGGCATCCAAGGTTAAGCTGACGCCTTGTGACCAGCGGCCCCACCATAGCCCACGCTGTGAGGACAAACCGTCTGCCCAGCCCGGGTCCTTAGGAGAACAGGGACATTCTAACAGGGCTTAGAGAGGGTCCCCGGGGACAATGTCAGGTCCCTCCTGGGGCAAGGTCACATTCTCCACTACGCAAAGCTCGCGTCCCTTCCATTGAGTGCCTCTGAACTCTCCGTGGGTGTGCAGCGTGGGCTGTGAGCATCACCTCAGTGGCTGGTCCAGATGTTGTGCGGCTTCCATGGAGCCGCTTGGGGTCATGGATCTGTGGCCCAGCTCCCTTTCCTGGGCTCCGCATGGCCTTGACTCTCTGCCTTTGTCCTGGGGACACTAAGGAATATGGAAAGGACCCTGTGTAGGGATGCACCCCGCTGAGTGGTGACAGGGCCACACACACCTGCAGGCAAGGCCGGGCTGTCTGCCTCAGCTGCAGAGGGACGGGCTTCCTACCTGGCCCTGTCTTCCCGCTGCACCCTGGGCTGGGGACCCCTGTCACCGTCACCTCCAAGGTGGGGGGTGGTGGGCATGGACTCTGCTGAAGCTGCTCCCCCACGGGGCTGGGCACTCGCTTTCTCCACAGTCAGTGAGCAGGGAGTGCTGTCACCCTCGTGTTACCAAAGGCAGCACTTGGAGAGGGAGGCCCAGGCAAGGCCATGCGCCCCGCATGTGCAGGAGGTGCTCAGCCACCTGCAGCAGCTGAGAAAGGTGTCCCTCCAAGGGAGTGTGCTTCGGGCTGCCCTCTCTTTAGGGCTGGGGTGCACTTGGTACAGCACGTGCCTGGCCTGTGCAAGGGCCCCCAGCGGCTCAAAGGAGACAAGCGAAGTATTTCTGTTTGTTTCCCCAAAGGAGTCATCTTGTCGGCTGTTGTCTCCACCGACCCAGAGAAGCCACCTTTCCTGCTGATTCTGGATGCCAAGAGCTTCACGGAACTGGCTCGCGCCTCGGTGGCCGTGGACATGCACCTGGACCTGCACGGGCTGTTCATCCCCGACCCGGACTGGGCTGCGAAGAATCAGCCCGCTGCTTCCGAGGCTCAGCAGGGCCCGGGTTCAGACTGCCAGGGGCCCCTCCGGCCTGACGGGGCTGACGGGCTTGGGCTCCCCTGACGAGCCGCTCAGGACTAAGCTCGCCACTGGTGGCATTCTCATCTGCCCTCTCCATGGGGGCTGTGGAGGAGCATGGGGCTCTGGCTCACCTGTGTCTCTTCTGTTTCATTTTAGCCGGAGAACTGGGTGCAGTGGCTCAGCCCTTGGGAGGCTGTGCCAGGACTGTTATGAGTTCGAGGCCAGCCTGAGCTACCTTAGTGAGTCTGAGTCCAGCTGAACTGCGTAGCAAGACCCTGTCTCAAAAAAGAAAAACAAAACAAAATGAAACAAAATGCCATACAAACCTTGTTTGAAAGGCAAATATTTATTGTTCAGTTCTGACACTTCTAAGAAAGCCTTTTTTCCTTTATTATGAAGCCCTTGAACATGAATCAGAAATTATATTCCCATCACATATCGTCACTCTTGAAATAAGCACCACAGAGGTGCTGGAGAAAACACGGCTCCCTGTGGGTCCTCGCCCCGCCCTCCTCCTCCACAGCCCTTGTGCCTGCTGCCCCGTCCTGGGTCCTGCGTGTGGAGCCCTGGTTTGCTCAGCCGTACCCTGTTAGTGAGCCTCGTGGCCGGGAAGGCTCGCTGCTTTGTGGCCATTCCATGCAAGACGCGGTATAATATAAAACAATAAAAACTTTCAAGTCTGTTCAGAACTCCTTTTATTTTTACAGGGCTTCACCCTCTGAAGTTCTTCTAAGGCTGTAAAACAGCGTCACAGACCTTGATGGCTCACAGCCACTGGGACAGACCCAGCTCCAGGGCGTGGACAGAGCAGGGGGCAGCCCCAGACCGAGCTCCACGGCAGTGAGCCACGTCTGTGCCGAGGGGAAAGAGAGTCTCCAGACTGTCTGCACCACCAGGACAGACAGGGCTCGGGGACAGAATGGAAGGAGCAGAGGGTCACCCGCAGGGCGGCCGTGGGGATGGCGGAAGTTGGCAGGAAGGCAGCTGGGCTCCTATGCGGTCGCCAGGAGCCCATGGCATCTGCATCTCACCATCCTGTCTACTCTCACAGTGCCTGGAGCTGATGTAAACAGCCAGAGGCAACCCGGGGAACTCCCAGCACCTGTGTCCTGGGGCCAGGACAGAGGCTTCAGGCTCCGTTCTCCCACTGCTGCTGCCCCAAGTCTAAGTCCCACCAGTCACCAATGGAACTCAATAACGCATCTCCAGGATGGGAGAAATCTCTGGTGACACTGCATGAATACCCCCGAGGGTGTGGACCTGCCCAGGCGGCCTTGGCTTTTGACTACAACCACCTTGAAACAGTACCAGGCTCCCTCTCCAGTTCGGGATCCACTGGACCAGACAGTTGTCTGTTTCTTAATTGAAATTCTCCACAACAACGGTACAGGGACACACAGTCCCAGAAGCAGTGTGGGAGGCTCCCAGGGCAACTCTGCCCAGCCTTCCGGTGGGTCTCAGTGCAGGACTGTAGATGCAGCGTCACAGCCGGATGCTGACCCTGACACCACCCGCCCACCAGGCTTATCCACAGTCCCCGCTTCTCCTTGTGTCCATGTTGAAATCTCGGCAATTTTCTCGTCCCTGTAAAATCGGTAGCTGCCGGGATTCCCCGCCACGGTAAGGTGCTGGGCATGGGCTTGAGGGCCCCTCCCGTGGCTCTGTAATCATCACCCCTCCTGTCTCCAGCTCCCCAACCCATACTCGCCGCCGCAGCTGTCACTTGCAAAAGTTTGTCATTGTGGAAACGTCACCTAAGTGGAATCACAGTGGGCTTCTGGGACGGGCTTTCCGCACACAGCGGTGTTCCTCGGAGACCCGGCCAGGCGGTGAATTCATCCAGCTTCTTGTACCCCCGGGACGTTCTGGGCACTAACTCTGTCCTCGGCACCGATAACGTTAACTTTAGTCACTCAGCACACAGTAGGTCTCACTGCAGGAACGAGTAACCGAGGCAAAAAGATTCAACGCTGCAGCTCACAGGCAAGGGACACAAGTTTCATAGAAGACCTAAAGGTGGGGAAGACAGGTCACGGGGCTCCATGACAGCACAGCATTGCCGCTCGGGTTCCGCTCTCCTCCGTCTCTTCTCTTGCTGTCCCCAAGATCCCCTCCATCATCAGCCTTTCCGTCCTCCCCTGAGCGCCCCTCTCGTGTGTCCCATTCAGCAAGAACACACCCCACCGAGTTGACAGAGTGGAGGAACCTCCCGGGGGAACCTCAGAACCTCCAGCCTCGGGATAAGACGATAAGACGGACCGAGGGGAGACGTCCGCCCTCATGACCTCCGGAAAGCACAAGAAAATCCGCCTACCTAGTCTTCTATTTTAAATACATGAAAGAGGTGGAATGCGGCAAGGCCTCCCCACCCCCCTCTGCTCCATTCCATTTGCCAAACAGTACCCAGACCTCATCATGAAGCAAGGCGCAGCTCCGCGGGGAGGAGACCCACGCCTGTGGTTTGTTTGCCTTATTGAAGATGGCAGGTGGCACACCGGACCGACGAGGAAGGCTGGCACACCAAAGCTTGTTTTCTCGCTCTCAAAAACATCAAAGGTTGTCGTCCGCATATTCCTTTGTCTGGATCTCCGGTTCCACTGTCTCATACCTGGACAGCCCAGGGGCGTCAGCTCAGAGCTCCCAAGCGTTACGAGGCAGCTCCTTTCTTGTAGGAACCACAAGACAGTCCGTGGCATCCTCAGAGCCTTCCTTCACCATTATGCCCCTTGTAGGTGTGAAAGGTGACGAGGACGTTGGGCAGGAAAAGTCACACTGGCTTTGTTTACCGCTCTGCCGAGGCCAGCCATTTCCCAAGTGCTCTAGGAGTGAGTATCAGGCGCACTTGGGGCCTCAGACGCCTGCCGACCCACTAACGTTCCCACTGGAGCTGCCTCTAGTGTGACTGAACTTAGGAACAGCCTGAATGAATCCGGGGCAAATCCACCATGAGCAGCCTGAATGCACACAAGCTGCACCTCCAGTACGTTTTCCCGCCCATTTGCTCTGGGCCAAACTTCTGTTGGCAGAATTAGTGCCTTTCCAAATGCTGACGGTCCAGGTTAAGCAAAAGCACGTTGCTCACTTCTTAGTGACGGCCTGGGTGATTTGCAAACGGTCAGGGGAACTCACTGCTGTTGCAAATTAGGACTCAGACACCAAAATGTCATCATCTTCATCTTCATTGTGATACTGAGATGAGACGAGTGGGCCTTAACACTTCTTCAAAAACTGTTTTTGGAAGTTGTGACTCTGAGGCCACATATAGCATCCTACAGGACCACATCAAGAAACATCCTGCAAGGCTGAGGTCAGCCAAGAGGCCCAGGGGACCTCCTTGCACCCAAGGTGCGTAGCACACGTGCTGGGGGGCGGAGAGGGGGAGTTTAACAGGCTTCCTGCTTCTGGGGTGTGAGCAGCAGCTTCCCGCACGGGCGGGATGTCAGGAGCTGCCCAGCAGCTGGGCACAGCACCTGCAAGAGGCTGCTGACTGCAGGTGGAGGGTGCAGCTCAGGAGGAGGCCTGGGGGCGGATGTGGGTGACTGAACCAAGCAGGTAAACAATGCGCCTCCCAAGAAAAGCCAGGGAAAGAGTGGGGAGGCAGAAAGATCTGAGAAAGACAGCCGGTCATTCGGTGTTTTCCTGTGTACCCTTCCGGGGCACGGTCTACGTTTTAGTGGTCAGTTTACAACCTATCCACCAGCTCATAACCTGCCTTTTTTCTTTTCTCTTAACGTAGGGTACAAGCATCTTCCCAGGTCATTAAATCCTTTGAATGGGTGAACAGTATTCCCTCTCCGGGGCCTGGTGCATCACCCGACACTGGGGCGGTATCCAGTCTTTCCCATTATAGTGATGCCTGAAGAGTCTCTTTGTGCTTCTCCTTACCTCGTACACAAGTGGTGTTTGTTTGTTTGTCTGGCTGGATTTAAAATTTGAGATTTCTGAGCCAAAGAGCAGAAAAGTGAATTTGGGGCTATTTTTATTATTCTTTTTTTTGGTACCAGGGATCAAATTCACGACCTCAAGCTTGCCAGGCAGCGGCTTATGCCACTAAACTAAATCCCCAGCCCCAATTTTTTACTATTCTTGTTTGTTTGTTTGTTTTTTGAATTTGGGGATATTTTTAAATTTGCTTTTTAAATTTTTTTTAAACAAGTACATATACATAATGCATAGTAATCATATTCATCAGCTGGGGATTTAGCTCAGTGGCATAAGCACCTGCCTGGCAAGTGCAAGGTCGTGAGTTCGATCCCCGGTACAAAAAAAAAAAATCATATCCATCATAGGGAATTTGTACAGGTGCATAATATATCTTCATTTTGCTTAGTCTCCCTCCCCCTCCCCACCCTTGGACCCTTCTTGGCCTCCCCCTCGGGGATGTTTTCTCAGCAGGGCAAAGGTTTTGGCTCCAGACACGGAGCTGCAGCTGCAGACACTGTTGGATGTGTGAGGCTGAACCTGTCCGCGGCTGCGAGGCTCAGCAAACACCTCTGTCGGGACAGGGGCAGAAATGGGTGCAGCGTGACTGACCTCGGTCGGTCTCCCGTCCCCCCTCTTCCCTGCCCTCAGCTCTCCTCCTCCTGCAGCACAGTCCCCAGAAGGGGGGCGGCACACGTCAGAGGGCGAGGGGAGGGATGGCAGCAGGTGGCCTGGCCAAATGGCCAGCTCAGGTGTCTGGGCCTGGATTCAGGGGAGAGCACGGCAAAGCTGGGGCAAACCAGGCCACAGCAGAAGACACAGCCCTGGCACATTCCTGACATAGGGCACACAGTGGCACTAGCTGAAGAGATGTCACCATGGCCGCTTCCAGGACAATCAAGGGCTGATGTGTTTTGTTTTAAATAACAGATTTCTCAGAATCTAACTTATCTATGCAAATGTCAGCCATGGGAAGTGTGTGACTCATGGTTGTAGTGTATTGAGAGTAACCTAACTATTGTCACTGTGTGATTTGAGAACACTGACATCAAAAGGAAACCCCACACTCTTTGGTATCACTCCCCATTCCACGCGCTTCTTGAACCCTGTTCCCAGGAAAACCACGAATCTCTTTCCTAGCTCTACAGATTTGCCTATGTGGGACATTTTATATAAAGGGAAGGATATAACACGCAGGGCTTTTCTGACTGGCTTGTAGCAGAGTGTTTTCAAGGTTCATCTGTCATTGCATGAATCACTACCCCATCCCTTTTTACGGCTGAGTAATACTCTTTGACAAGACCATATTTTCCTAATGCACACCAAATGTTTCTGCTGGAAACATTTGAATTGCTTCCTGGTTTTGACTGTGTGGGTGATGTTGTTATGAACATTCATGTCCAGGTTTTTTTATGTAGACACGTGCTTTCATTTCTCTTGGGGCTCCACCCAGCAGTGAACCTGCGCCTCATGTGGTAACTTTGTGTTTAATATTATAAGGAACTGCCACATTGGGCCACCTCGTTTTTCAAAGTGGCTACAATGTACACTCGCAAGAGCAACCTACAGAGACTCAAGCATCCTCCTTGACACCTATTCCAGCCTGGCTTTTTGATTCCAGCCGTCCTGCCCGGTGAGAAGTGGTACTTAGTGTGATTGTGGTTTTACTTTCCTAGTGAATTAGCAACGCTGAACACACTTCCACGTTCTTCTTAGCTCTTCAAATATTTTCTTTGGAAGAACAACTCAGATCCTTTGCCATTTTTTAATACAGGGTATTTGTCTTTATTGTTGAGTTACAGGATTCAGTAATATATGGTAAGCCCCTCATCAATGCATGATTTTAAGTTTTTTCTCTCATTCATAGGTAGTCATTTGATTCTCATTGGTGTCCTCTAAAGTACAAACATGTTTTTTTTTTTCAATTTAGATGAACTACAATTCATCTGATTTTTCTTCGCTAACGTGTTCTTGATGTTATATCTAAGAAACCATTAGTTAACCCGTGGTCATGAGAATCACTCCTGGGCTAGGCTGCAGCTCAGAGACAAAGCGTTAGCTCACAGAGCAGGAAGACGTGGTTCAACCCACAGCACTGGGGCAAAGGAGGCAGAGTTATTCCTGGGCTTTCCTCTCAGAATGCTGTAGTTTGCCACCAAGCTTTAGGTCCATGATCCATTTGAGATCATCGCTGTGCACAGTGTGACATGTGGGTGTCCATCCCTCCCACGTAAGAGCCACCTGTAGGGTGGATTCATCTCCCACTTAGAAAAACTGGAGTTTCTTCCCCTTCCCCATACCCTAGAAAAAAGACGTCTCCTCCCCGCAGCAGGAAGCAGTTTAGTGGTCAGGAGCTCTCTGCTGCACCCAGCAAGGATTTGGTTCAAAACCAGGAAGCTAAGACGCCAGCCTCAGCCCAAGGGGGTTCCCGGGTCTCTTTCTTTAGTGGGGATTTGAACAACTTCCTGTCTCCACCACAGAGTCCTGGTGACATTCGGGTACACCCCGCATGTATCTATGCTCCCTCCTGCTGGGCCTTGGTGGGGTGCCCTGAGATCTTCACCCCTCCTTGTGTTTTTTTATACTTTATTTTTGCATGTGTGATACCAGGGGTTAAACCCAAGGCCTTCACCCTGAGTTACGTCCCCAGTTCATTTTTTTTTTTTAATTTTGAGCCCTAGCCTGGTTAAATCACTACACTGTCTAGGCAGGACCTGAATTTGTAATCCTCCTGCCTCAGCCTCCCAGAGTCCTGGGATGACGGGTGTGTGTCCCATGCCTGGCCGCCTGGTGTTTTCCCTAGGTAGGTGCAGCCACCGTTTTCCAGCAGCGGTGACGGTGTCTGACATTCCCGTAGGTCCCGCCTCCTTCCAGGAGGTGGGGAGCTGGTGGGGAGCTGTGGGACTGGTGAGAGACTCGGGCTGCCTGGTGAAGGTCACCTCAGCACCCCATTTGGGGTGTGGTCATCCATTTGTCATTTGGTTTGGGCAAGCCAGAGGGGGTGCTCGTCCTTGGCTTGCGGCTGGCATTCGCGGGGGAGGGACAGTGCCGGCCTGGGTGCTGCGTTTGTGCCGCCTCCCGGGTAGGGGCCGGCGTGAGCTCCCTCATGATAACAATAATAACAGCATGCACTATCGCTGGGTCACACAGCCACATACCTCGAGCTCAGCAAGAACAGGAGTTTCCGGTTGCTGCCTGACAAACTGTCCTGCCACTGCCATGCCGCTTTCTTCCTTCCCAAGGGTCAAATCTGACTTCATCTCCCTCCCAGGATACTTGGGCTCCCCAGGGGTTTCCCTGGATGATCCCAGACGCTGCCCCACCTCCAAATCCTGCCCTGGAGCCCATGGCAGGGTCCCCTTGGCCAATCAGGTCCCGTCCATGAGAACCTGGGTATCTTTGGGGCTCTTGTTCAGATAACCCCAAGCAGCTGGCTCTTAAGGCACTCGGTGAATGCTTGTTGAGTGGCTGAGTGAATGCTGTCTATTCAGAGTTGTTATTGGCAGCCTGCGGCTTCCTTTCCAATGTGGTCTCTCCTGCCTGCTTTGGGTCTTGCTCGTTTGCCTTCACCGAGTTTAACACGACAGTTTGTTCCTCCGTCACGTGCTCTCCCAATTCCTTCCTACTCCCCCCCCCATATAGCTTTTTGTTTCCTGATATACCATATAATTCATTGCATTCATTACTAACTGTATTCTTCACTTCATTTTAGGCTCACAGGAGTGTAGACCAGTGTCCGACACACAGCAGGTGCTGCATGTGCGCATCGGGTGTGTGGGAACCAAAGGGTGCCATCGAGGGTCTCGGCCTGGAGCCACCCTTCTCCTCTCCTCTCCTTCCCCTCTCCTCTCCTCTCCTTTCTGACTTCTTTCCTTTTGTCTGTGCCATAGCTTACACCCAGGGCCTCGAGCATGCCAAGCGGGCACTCTGCCACCGAGCAAAGCCCCTGCTCTGCCACGGCTGGCCTTGTCTTTCATGCCAGAGAAGGCTTTGCCCACTATGAGGCCAAATCAACGCCAGGTAAACACGGACGACCCCGCCCGCCGGCCTCCGCCCCGTCCCCTTAGCACACGGGCAATGTGGATCTCCACAACACAGATGACCTCAATTCTCATCTCCACCAAGACTTTTGAAAGTCTCAGAGGGAAAGGGGTGGTGTGGCACTGGCACCGAACGTGTACTGAAAGCCGAGGTCTTGAAATTGAAATGCTTGCAGAGCTTGGAATCGGCTGAAGTCACCGGGTTTGTTGTGTTGGGGTACCGTGTCCCCTCAAGCCTGCCTCGAGGCTGTGAGTGTGGCTCTGGGTTTGGCTTTGCCCAGGACGTCTGTGTAGATGTCTTGGGCATCTGAGGAGGCCTCCTGAAGTCACAGTGAATCCCGCATGCATGTGTGTGTGTGTGCACGCGTGTTCTCTGGGAGAGCAGAACCAACAACTATCGCAGCGTTAGGGTCTCGGCAGACAACACGCAGGACTTCGCACTGGGCCAGCACTAAGGACTGTGCCTCTGCGGCTGACGCCCTGAGACCGAAGTTAGCAGGCAGCACTTCGAAAGGTGTACCTGCTGTGGTCGGGGGTTTGCAAGGGAAGCAATTTATTGCAGGCCCTGTGATTCGTAGGATTATTTTACAACAGCCACCCAAAGAGTCAGGAATGAAAGAATGCAGGAAATCTCTCCACACACTAAAGATCCAAAGAATCCAGCTGAGGGCCTGGATCCCACAGCAGTGTCCTGCGTGAGTCCAGCTGAAGGCCTAGAACCCATGACAATGACTCATGTAAGTCTGTTCACGGATCTGTACTGCGAAGGCCCAAAGGTCAGCAGTGGAAGCTAGAAAGTCTGTGCCAGCAGGCTGAGGGATCTGCACTGGAGCCAGAAAGCAACAAGGGACCAGCGCTGCCCCCAAAAGTACCACAGCCATCCTCAGTGACACTGAGGTCCTGCGCTCCTCCAGTGATGAGAACAGCAGAGCTGGTATCCGATGAGTCTGCGTGACAAGCTCCTCCAGGAAACCCAGCACACCACGTCCTCCTCCCCAGGTCTCCTTTATATGGCAGCAGTCCCCAGGTGGCCCTCCACACCCCGCAGCATGCCACAAGCTGCCCACCAGCTGTCCCCCCCACACACACAGCACCCCTCCTCCCTGTCCCTGTGCTGAACCAGGCACAGGTTCCCATCTCAGGTTGACCAGTGTTGGCCCCCGAGCATTGCTTAGGACTCCTCATAAGTGAAATGGTTTTTGTATGATCTGGAAGTGTTTCCAGGGTGCAAAATGATACAAAGTTGCAAACTATTAATGACCAAGGGAACATAGCCTTTTACTGGATAGTGACAGTGTTTCATTCCCTGCTCCATCTGTCTGTCCATCTGCCCCTCCATCCATCCTTCCCTCCACAGCCTATAAACCTGGGCTTTATCACTGCCGTGTGTGACAAATACTTTATATAAAGTATTCATCCTTCAAAAATGGCGGGAAGCTGCGGTGCAGGGAGCTCAGAGTCACAGAGGTAGCAGGCGGTGGAGGAAGCTCGGGCTGAAAATCCAATTCCGCTCATGCCAACGGCAGGGTCTGCCATTATCCACCAAACATCGCGATGCGGAGAAGAGGGGAGCTGCCCGGCGACAGTGAGCGGACAGTCTGTGCCTGTGCACCTGTTCCAGTGTCCTCCATATCATGCCATGCTTGTTTTAATACCCAAGAATCCGCCAGCAGCCTGTAAGGACCGGTGATGCCTTGAAAAGGGTTGGAGCCCAGCATGGCTTCCTGCCACACCGCACCCCATGCCCCATTTATCTAAATCAGCTGTCTGTTGTGTTTGCATCTTGCCTGCTGGGCTGGCATGTGAAACTCCTGAGACATGATTGGAATCTGCTTCCTTCTCTCTCCCTCCCAAAGCCTAGCCCAGTGCCTGGCATGAAACAAACACACAGATAAAGAACTTGACATTCATTTGTTGAATTCCTGCCTAGCCAGGAAGGGGCACTGTGGTGGATTGATGGTTCCTACCCTATGCATGTGCCACAAGAGATTCAGATGATGGCCTGTGGCCCCTGCTGCCCAGACACCTCACCATGGCACAGGAGGGGCCAAACGACCTTCCTGGGACTCTCCTGTACAACGTCAAGGCTGGGATGGGGGACCAGCACCAGGAGAAACAGCAGGTTCTTTGTTTTAAAGCTTCATTAAATTGAGGCTGGGGATTTAGCTTGCAGCATAAGCGCCTGCCTTGCAAGTGTGTGGTCCTGAGTTCAATCCCCAGTACCGATAAAAAAGAAAAAAGACACACACACACAAAAAAAAAAAAAAATAGGGCAAACTTTGAGAAAGTGACAACTGACTGGCTCCTCCTGACTGGTGGCACCATGCCAGTCACGGCTCACGCCCTGGAAGGGACAAGTGCAAATTATCGGTGTTGAAACCTGTTTCCCAAGAGTGAAAAGCTGAGAACAGTCTCCTGCCCAGATGTGATCTGCCACGCAGGTCTCCACCTCGGATCGATCGTGCACTTCAAGGGTCACACCTGGGACTCCAGCAGCCCAGCTAAGCCCTGGCGCCTCTGTGACACACGTGGGTAGGCTCCGGGTCTCGTGGATTCAGTCCCATATTCTGCAGGCTCCCTGTGGAGGTGCTGGGGATGCACAGCGGGGGGCCAACACATGATCACAGCTTGGCACTCTGCAAAGCAGCCAGGACTTCAGCGGCTCCCATAGCTGGCTGAGGACATTAGCCAGGGACAGCGGTGCCCTCTCCGAGCCTGAGTCACTTAGACCGGAGGAGGGAGAGCCTAATCTCTCCTGTGTGCAGCTGTAAGGACTTGTTGTGGAACTAGAAAAATAATAGGAACACTAAGGAGATGATCTCTGACCTGACGCTTACAGATAAATGTCCTCACTGGATGGCAGGACTGTTTTCAAAAGCTAACATTTGAGGAACACGTGGCATTTGCCACACACTGTGCTAGGCCACTGTGCTTGGATGATGCCATTCATCCTGCACAAACCTGCTATGCCGGGGACCAGTTATTCCCACGGGGAGCCTGAGGCTGGGCGGTTTCCATTGGATGCCCAGGCCAGGGAGCTGCAAAGTGACAGGAGCGGGACTTGAACCTGGCACCCGGACTCCAGACAGATCTTGAGGCACAGACAGAAAGGAGCTGTACGGGAGGGACTTTTCAGGATGACACCGGAGAGATGGACAGCTTTCCAGGCACCAAACATTGGGGGGAACCCAGGCAGGAGTCAAAGTAAACCCATGGTCCAGTGGGGTGGCGCAGTCCACTGTGTGTGAGTCCTAGTGGGTGGGTTGCAGAGTTTCACATAAAAGATGGTGCGATCTAGAAGACAAGGGGGTCAGTCAGTGGACGCCTTGAAGCCAGGCATGGGGACCTGGGTTTTTAGCTGAAGAAACAGCTGTAAGACAGGATTGCTGGTGTGCAGGAAATGTCATACGCCTGGCCACATCCCAAGCGGAGGGTCCTCTGGACAGCACGGGTGGACAGGCTGGCCACATTCTCTCTAGATGTCCCTCCTTCCCCTAGCAGCCAGTGAGCTCCTCCAGCTCAGTGTCGACCCGAATTGCTGTGGGGTCCCGCAGGGTCCTGGTACGCGGGAGGTGCTTATGTTTTTTGCTAAATGAGAAACATGTGAGTGAATGTCATATGGCGGTCTCCGGGTCCCTGAAGAAATAAATTCTGAGCTGGACTCAAGAAAAATGTGTATTTCTGTGGTGGATCACAACCCTAAGTGGGAAAGGGGGGAAAAAGCTTCTAGAAGCAAGCACAGAGGATGTCGAATGGAAAAACTTCTTCATCAGTGAAAGAGTTGCCGGGCGGGGGCCCCCTCCCCGCATTCCCGGAATAAAGCCACCGCTGACCACTACTTTTACGGCCGTCCACTCCGCTCCATTCCTCCCGCAGACTTCTCCTCTCCTCTCCCTTCTCCCAGACCTAACAATCAGAATACGAAAACCCCACCACAGAAGATCGACAATTTGAGCTTCATTAGAATTAAGAATGTTGGGGGCTGGGGATTTAGCTCAGCAGCATAAGCGCCTGCCTTGCGAGCGCACAGTCGTGAGTTTGATCCCTGGTACCGATAAAAAAAAAAAGAATTAAGAATGTTTGTTCATCAAAGGTATCAGATTAAAAAGTAGGCAAGCACAAACCGGAAGAAATTTGTCTGTATTATAAATAATAAAGAACTCCTAAAAATTAAAATCCAATTTAAAAATCATGAGGGCGCCAGGGCTTTAGCTCAGCGGTGTAAGCGCCTGCCTGGCAAGTGTGAGGTTATGAGTTTGATCTCCGGTACAAAAATATAAATAAATAAAAATAAAAATAATGAAGGGAACTGGGCAGGAAGGCACATGCCTATAGTCCTAGCTACTGGGGAGGCTGAGGCAGGAGGATGACAAGTTCAAGGGAATTTAGTGAGACCCTGTTCAGAATAAAGAAGTAGGTAGGCATGGTGTCACACAGCTCTAATCCCGTCACTCAGGAAAGAGGCTGAGGCAGGAGGATGCTGCGAGTCCAGGCTGGGCTACAAAGTCAGTTTGAGACCAGCCTGAACCACATAGGGAGACCCTGTCTCAAATAAGTAAATGAATAAAAGTAAAAAGGGCTGGGGCTCTAGCCTGGTGGTGGGGCACTTGCCTGGAGTGCAGGACGCCCCGGGTTCCCCCCAAGGTATCAAGAAGAAAAAGGGAAATGCAAGTAATTGCCTCATAATAAAAACTGCCAAGTATTTGTGAAAGACAAATAATACAAGAGCGAGTTATCACGAGCAGAGCCAGGTGCCACCACCGGGGACAGCAGCCTGGCAGTGCCCCACGGGAAGAGTGCACACATCCGCCCAGGGCCGCCCCAGCTTTACTATTTATTCACTTTGGTCTTTTGAGACAAGGTCTCGCTACGCAGTCCAGGCTGGCCTTGAGCTCACTTTGTAGCCCCGGCTGGTCTCGAACTCGCCTCTGCCTGGGCTGAGGCCTGCGCCCCACCCCCACCCCTACCCCCACCCCACGATGGCTTTCTTGCTCAGCCCCAAACTGGCAACGGTGCCAACATCCCTCAGTAGGAAATGGGCACACTGTGGCGTGCTCACAAAGGCAGGCTGACCCAGCAACGAGCAACAAAATCAAAGAATCTCGAAGACCTTCCATTGAGTGAAGCAAACCAAGCATAAAACTAATCAGCGGTGATGGAAGTGAGAACCCGGTTTCCCCCGGGTGGCATGGAAGGGCGGCTGAGGGGTGACGGAATGTCCCGTGCCTCGACCTGGCTGGTGACACCCGGGCTCTGTACATTAGACCAAAAGAGGGACTTTTTCAAATATGATAAATGGACATGAATAAGTCTGATGTATTCCAGAGAAGACAAATGGATTTTGTATTTAAAGGTTTAAATGGAAAGTGTATTTCAAGGTTCTTTTTTTTGTACCAAGGCTCAAACTCACAACCGTGTGCTTGCAAGGCAGGCGCTTGTGCTGCTGAGCTAAATCCCCGACTTAAAGGTTCTCTTTATTTTTTATTACTGCATTTGCATCATATAATGAATACGCCCATAGTGGGGAGCTGGTCGGAATACATACTGCCTTTTTAACCCTTTTTACTTCTCCTGTCTCCCCCTCCCTCCATCAGAAAATAGATGAATAGATTTAAATGCAAGAAGAAAAAAAAAGCATGGAGCCTGAAATAAAGGGCAGGTGCGAGCTCAGAGACGTGGGGCGGTCATGGAAGTGTCCCGTGGCACTAAAAGTGGATGGGATTCACCTGATTCCCAGTGCTAACCTCAGGGAGACCGGAGGGAGTCTGGCCTAGACCTGCAGGTGCTGCAGCTGGGAGGGTTTGGAACTGGATGGAGAGAATATTTACTTGTCCGCACTGGGCAAGGATCTCAGTAAAAACAAGGACCAATAACAAAATTAACCACACTTAGCGTTTACTGAGCAGCTCTCTGCGCCAGACCTTGGCCAGCACGTCTGCAGAATGGTCTCCTTTCATCCCCGCAGTCACTGCTAATAATCCCAACTCCACAGACGAATAAACGGAGGACGCCGTGTGACGGAGCTACAGTCTCCAGGGCGGGGAGGAGGCGAGCCGGAAGGCGGGCAGTCAGGAAGCCAACACACGAAGGCTTCAGCGGCCTTGGCAGACATTTAAACAGATCTGAGGTCCAGAACGAGTTTCTCATGAGCTAAATGCTGCCGAATACAGAACGTGGGCTAGATATATGTCCCTTATTTCACTAATGAGTATGGTCTCAAGCTGCATCCATTCACCTATAAAAGCCTCCACTTTATCCTTCTTTGTGGCTGAGTAGTACTCCATGAACATAGGCTAGAATTCTTTGGGAAGATTTAAATGCCTTTTATGTGCTGTTTATAAGGACATAAATAACAGACAGTATCCAAACTTTATTTATATGACAAACATGCAAAGTGGTGCACCCTGACCTGGACCGACAGACTCTGGCCGGACCTGGTCAGAAAGAGGCTATCAGGGCAACCTGTGGCCAGAGCTGCTAAAATGCAACTTGCTTAAAATTTGGAAATTTCACTTCAGGTCCTTTCTGAGAATTCATCCTGCTGTAAGTTGGCCGGGTCGGGTCAGGCAGCAGGAGACAAAACAAAGTCCAGGAAACCATTCATTCCGTAAGTAAACATTTACTGAGCACACAGTGTAACTCAGATGTGTTTCAGTCTACAACGAGGAAGCCTGCCCAGCCTTATGAAAACCTGTTACTATAATCAGAAGATACACAATATACAAATAAACAGGGATAATTGTAAGTAGTGATTAAATGTAATGGAGATGGAGCATGCTACAGGGAGGCATACGCCGGAGGGTGAGTGAAAGCCTTTCAGGAGTTGACCTTTGAATTGTAATTAAAGTAGAACAAAACAGCAACCAACAACAAGAATATGAGGAGAAGACTATCAAGTTGAGAAGTTAGCAAGTGCAAAGGTCCTGGGGTGGGAACATGCTAGGCCTAGTCAAGGAAGCACAAGAAGGCCAGTTTAGTTGGTACACTGACCGAAGGACGTGTGGCAGGAAATGAGATCACAAAGGAGACACACAGGCTCACAGGGCTTTGTAAACCAGGTAGCTTATTAATTTTCCTAAGTTTGATGGAAAAATCACTGCACGGTTCTGAGGGAAAGTGGGGTGATTTGGGGTGAGAGAAGGTCAGAGGGGTGAAGGCGGCCACATCAAGGGCGGAGGACGTGAGGTGCTGGGCTCAGAAAGTTCGGCTTGCCAGCTGCAGGGTTTGCTGATGAACTGGATGAGGGGCCTGAAAGACTGAGCTCAAGAATAACCCCACACTTCCTCCAAAGTACATGGATGGCTTTAGGGAAGGGTTACATTTAACAGCAAACTCGGGATTTATTCTCTGATGCACTACGTTTCACTTGTCTGTTAAGACATCCACTGGAGACATCATGCAGGCCGTTGGAAAAACCTGTTTGGAGTTCAGGGAGGAATTATGGGAAGCATCTGAAGCCACACCTCGTGGACAGAAAAGTCCTCATTCTCGTAGCATGTACTCACTCAGCAAACGTTTACCAAGTATCTACACCAGTGTCAGGCCCTGTGCAGGGCCCTGCGGTGGGGTGCACTGTGTGGATCTGGACAGACACTGTTAAACCCTGCTTCCTGTCCTAGATGCTTCTCTGGTACCCGTGAAACATACAGAACCGACTCTCAAGTGTTATAAATACTGAGTGGCTCTGACTCAGCAATCTGGAAGGGCTTGGGTTTTTCGGAAAGAGCTATGTATAGACTTGGACCCGTGACAGATCTACTCCACAAGACGTCCAAAGACAACCTGAAGATGAATCAGAAGAGGCTGCCTCCACCAGATTGATGTTTACCGAGAGTCAGGCTGTTGTAATGGAAAAGCATACAGCCGTGCAGGCAGAAGCCCTGCCCCTCGGCCTGGGCCACCAGATCGGGACCTCCAGAGTCCACCCACTGGATTCCGTGTCCTCCAGAGGGCTTTCAAACTACTACCCACCGCCCTGCCTACAGTATTTTATGTTTCTGAACTCTAAGCATCAGGAAAAAATGAAAGCCCAAACTCCCAAAGGGATCCTTCTGGTGGACATTTTTTTCCCCAAACAAAAGAAAGCTTTAAAAAAATGTTTTTCATGGAAGCCAATGGAAAGTGCTTGTTTATTTTTCCTTTTTTTCTTGCTGATTGTAAAAATGATCCATGGTCTCTATCAATGCGGAGAAGGGCAGAGTAACAGGCTTCTGTGGAAGATTACAGACTGTGTCTGCTCTCACCCGCACGAATCTGCGTCAGACAGCGGGGCTGGAAATGTGCTGGGAGAATCATTACTGCCAGCGCCCTGCAGACATCATTTTTAGTCCGTGGACCAAAAAAGAGGAGAGGAGTAGCAGAAGCAGCAGCAGAAGTGGAAGAAGGAAAAGAAGAACCGAGGGGCAGTGAGGAGGGGAGAACAGCGATCGTCTCCCCTGAGGTTGTTCAGTCCACAAAGCAGAAGAGCTCGGTGGAGTCATCAGAGACTGAAACTCAGGGCAGCATCACGTGGGATCTCTCAGGTGACATCTTGCTCAACGACAGCTGCTATCTGATACCCACGGAATGCGCCCGGAAACCACCTTACGCTCCACTTAGGTGGTCATAAGTAATAAGGGCGGCTCACTTGAGCAATGCCCAGAGAGGCTACAAACAGTGCGGGGGCGCTGGCGGGAGTGGCTGGGGCGGGGGAGCTCCAAGAACTCCTGCCCTCTGCGCCTGGGCCCTTCCTGCCCCTCAGCACCAGGAGGAGCTTTTCTGGGGCAAGTGGACTCAACAGTTTTTATTGACGATCTGATGTCCTCTGCATGGCTAACACCCTACTGGGTAACCTGGGCGTTTTCTGATTCCCTCTGAGAATGCACTGAAGCCAGATCCTTCCTACAGATGCACGCTACTCACCCCGAAAATGGGATGAGCTGCTAACGTGGAATAACTGAGACGTTCATAGATAGAGCTGAACGATCAGGTCCTCCTGGGAAACTGTTGGCTGGCACTGCTGGATCCTTTGCCATGTGGCAATCAGCTGGAATTGAAGGGCACAAGATCTTCAGGTCCCAGGCACCCCAAGTATGGACTCCATCATGCAACCATCCGCCATCTCATTTATCTGACTTGCTACCTCCGATTCTATACATCATGGGGTGGGTGCCAAGTACCAGGCACTGCGAAAAACCCTGGGAACACAGGTCAGGTGCAACACTACCCGAGCCTTAGAGTTCAATCCAGCAGGGCACAGACGTACAAGACAACTGCACTACATCGTGCAGGCATGGCAAGGGCGGTACAGACAGCAGGAACAGGGCTAAGTAGAGGACACAGAGATGGCTGACCGCTGCGTCCTGCCAGAAGGATATATTACAGCTGGGTTTGCAGGATGACTAAGGGTTCACCAAGCAGATGGAGTGAAAGTGTCTGTACGGTCTCTGGTGACAAATGAGCCAGCAAATCCCTTTCTCCCGCCTGGCACTGTCTGTGAGTCTGCCTTCGTCATCCTGTTGCTCTTTCCATCAGAACAATGGAGAAGTTCACCTCTACCGGGAAGAGCCTGCCTGACTACTCACCTCCACTTGCCCCGGCTAAGGCTGCCCTCTCATTCTGGGAAAACTGGTTACCTAACTGTGATTCTGTTATTGGAGTGCTTTGTTTTATTTTGGAACCTCTGACATCTGGAGAATAGACCAGCATTCTAAGCAATTCTAGAGAATTCTTCCACTGGGGCCCCAGCAAAGGGTCTAAGTGGGAAGAAAGAAATAAATTAACAATAGAAAACACAAATTCGAAAACATTAAGTGACTAATAGTAATTAAAGAAAAACCCATCCATCCTCCACTATGTGCCAAGCACTATGTCTGACACCTGGAAATCATGCCAGATACAATGAACATACAGGTTAGCAGGCGATACAGCTAATAAACTCATTACACTAAGTTTCCTGCCAGAGCAATGTCCAAAGTACAGCTACTACTTAAAGACAGGAAAGCTGGCTACACCCAGGGACTGGTTATGTATAGAGAAAATAAGCTTGCACTGGGCTTTTTTGTTTTACTTTTTATTAAAACATTTCTTCAACATACACAAAAACATAAAGACTAGTACAACGAATCTCCATACCGATTATCTGGCTTCAACAATTACCAAGTTCTGATTCTTCTCCACTCACACCTGCTTTCCCTGTCCCTTTGTTTTGAAGCAAGTCCTAGACATTTTTATCATTGAACCCATAGCCTGAGCTGCATTCGAAGAAGGAACTGGAAATGCGTGGCTCTTCCACTAGTAACTTCCTTCCCCCCAACTTAGTCTTCCGTCTTAAAGCAGTTACACACTCTGATTCCTACAGGATTCCAAACCCCTAGCAAGACTTTGCTGGAACCTTCTGAGTTGGCTGATTAAGGATGAACCGATCCAGTGAAAAACGGCATCCTGCAGCTTGTTTGGAAGGCTGACCAGTCTTCTGGTCTCTGATCCTCATAAGACTGCTAATTCTCAAGTTTACACAAAATGGGTAGCTACATTCTGCAGTCCCCTGTGCTTTTGGCAATCTCGGGAGAAACTTCAGATGATAAAACGGTCGCCCCAAAGGCTGAGCCCGCTCAGGGGTGTTTCCCGTCCCAGCCTTGATCTGGAGCAGGCTGGAAGGCTGGTCCCAGGTGAACACCTGGCCTTTTTATCTCCCACCCCTTCCGCATTTCCTATGGCTTTCCATCCATGCGGTTAGTCATCCTAGACCAGCTGGACTCCCTCTCACGCTTCTATTGTAAAGTCACCCACTCTGTCCACCTCCCTCAGCACCCTTTCATCCCGGCCCCCAGTATTCTCCTCTCTCAAGCACTACAGCATCTAAGCATCCAACTGCCCCGAGCACCCCACCCCAGCTAGCCCCCGACGCCCACGGGAGCAAGACCCACCTTATCACAGCCCAGGGGGCGCTGCCAGATTCAAGGCGTCCCGCGTGTTTCTCTAGCTGACCGCGCGAGCCACACGCGCCGCGCAGGGGCTGCTCGCCCCGGGCTCTGGGCCCGCACCCCGGAAGCCACACCCACTGATTCCAGGCTCACACATCTCACTAGTGTCCACGCCATCAAGAAGTCCTCGTCTTCTTCTGGAGATGGAAACTGACGATGGGCACCTTACCCAAGACCAGACGATTTGTAAGTGGAAGCGCAAAGAGCCGGATTCGCGGCTCCGGAGGCCGCAAGCTGAACCGCAGAGCCCCAGCCTGCGCACCCCCTTCATGGCTGCAGCAGTCAAGGGCAGGGCCGCCGTTTAGCGCCCCAGCACACGGCCCAGAGGGAAAGAAGGCTTCTGATTGGTCACCGCCAGGGGCGAGAGGGCGGGGCGCGGGGGGCGTCGCGGGGAGATGACGCAACGCCACGACTCCTTAAAGGTACCGGCTCCGTGCGCCTCGGATGGCGCAGGCGCGTTCTGGGGGCTCCAGGTTCGCCTTGGAGTGCTGAGAGCCGGGCCGGGAAGGCGGGCGCGCGCGCGCCGAGTGTGTGGAGAGAGCGCGCGCCGGGACGCGAGCGGTTCGAGGGGTCGGACCCGGCCGCCTGGCGAGCCTGACCGGCCGCTGAGGAGCGGGCGCCGCGATGGCCGAGGGCAGCGCCGTGTCAGACCCTCAGCACGCCGCGCGCCTGCTGCGAGCGCTCAGCTCTTTCCGCGAGGAGTCCCGCTTCTGCGACGCGCACCTGGTCCTCGACGGGGAGGAGATCCCGGTGCAGAAGAACATCCTGGCGGCGGCCAGCCCGTACATCAGGTGAGAGGGACGCGGCGGGCGTGTCCGTCCCCGAGCCCAGGCGCCGGGCCCCGCCGTCCCTCCCGCCGACAGCCCGGGGCCCAGCGGCTCCGGCCACCCCCGGGCCGGGCTCGCGATCTTCGCGGGCGCCCTGGACCTAGCCCAAGGCTCCTCCGCGGCCTCCCCGTGCGCCCACCCCGCCGGGTCGCTCAGGCCTCGGAGCCTGGAGGCCCCCGACCCGGTGCGGGCGAGCAGGGCGGAGCCGCGCGAGTTCGCCGGCGCTCGCGGCCGCCCCGACGCCCCTCCCCGGAGAGAAGCGACACAAACAGCTCCGCGCGGCGTGGGCGGGCGCGCGGGGCGCTCAGTGCTGTCCCTTGGGATGGGTAACCCCGACCCCCAGGCTGGGGACCCTCTTCTTCCCAGACGTGACTTTCCACTCTGATGAGAGCTCCGTGGAAGAGAGAGGTTGTGGCACACGCTGAAGTAAGCTCCTGCGGATTTGAGAGACCCACTGCAGCTCTCTTGATGCAGTCCTCACCCTCGGACCGTGAGATCCTTAAGGGCATCTTAAGGCTTACATGAAACAGAGCTTAACCTGATTTGCTGCCTGGACTAACCAGGTTCATGAAAGGCTGATAGAACAGTGCTTATAAGGCATGTCAGATGTTGTAGGAGGCTGCTTATCTTTTCTTTTAGCAACTGAATTACAAACTGGGTTGCTCTTTTAATAAAAAGGGAGAAAATGCAAAAGCTGGAGAAAGTGCCCAATAAGCTGGTTAAATATAGGCTAATGGTAGAGAATGTCACTAGAAATGACAGGACAGAAAAAGCAAGAGGGTGTGTGCTGTATTCTTACTGCTTTGACCCAGCAGAACGCAGCACACAAACTGCATCTTAACCTTTGCATTAGGGGACATTTGTGCTAACTCAGAAGCCGTTTGGGTATCCCTGAAACTTCTGACTTCTCCTGGCTCTTTCCTGGAATTGTGCTTGCACTCTTGGTGTTGGTGGTAGGGTGGTCATATGGAATTTAGATGGCCAGTGTGACTGCTCCTAACTGAAGTCAGGGCAGCCAGTATCAAGTTGGATCAGCAGGCCAGGGACTTCCTGTATCCAAAGAAATCCCTATTCAGGAAGTGCTTAGAAAAACTACTTTAGCTCTGTTATTGTTATAGTTCTTTAAATGACATCTAGTTGGCTTAAAAGAACTAAGTTGCAAGTCATAAAATATGTACTTGGCATCTGCATTCATTTTCCTCCACAGCACTTACCTCTGTAACAGACCCTGTGTTTTACTTATTTGACTTGTGGGTCTTTTCCAACCGCAGCATAAACTCAGTGAGGCCAGAGACTTTTCTTTTGTTCTCTGCCGGGCCCCTCACACCAAGTGGCTCAGCAAATGTGTTGAATCACTGCCTGCCAGCCTGCCTTTCCACCACAGCACATGGACCTTGGAGGCTTGGCCCTCTTCCATTCCCGTGGTAGCCAAGCAGTTGCATGTATCTGACTTCAAAGAGCTTTGGACCCAGCTGAAGACTGCTTCCTGGGGCCAACTTTTACTTTGTTAGCTGTGAGTTGTTGGAAGATGATGACTTAGTTTGCTTCCAGCTCTTAGTCTCTTAGTCTGACAGTCTGATGAAGGGTAAAATGTGCCTTCATCTCATTTCAGCTTTGAGCCGCCTGTGAACCAAGTGTGTAAGAGTGTTTTGAACACTCCGTAGGCTGGCACACAGGTCTACAAAGGCAGTGACACCTGCTGTCCAGGAGGGACCTCCCATGGGCTGGCTCTGTCACTTTCTTAGGAAAACGGGAGTTCAGTGGCCATTTGTAATGTGTGTTATAAGGTCACACTAGTTATTAATGATTGAACAAGGTAGGGTTGGACACCAGGTGTATGATGCCACATCTCTTGCCCCTGCCAAACCAAGTTACCGCATTACTTGTATGACTGTTGTGTAAACCTACAGCTTGATGGCTTTATAGTACATTGTAATTTAAATACATATCAAACTCTTTTACATTACTGTCTCATTTTCATTTTCAACCATTTTGTGCAGCTATTTTAAATAATTTGCCAATATATATGAATCCATCCATATTTTTCTTCATCGAACAATAAATCACTTTAATTTCATTTGGCTGTTGAAGTGGTAGAATTTTCTCGTGGCTCTGTCTTTTTTTTTTTTTTTTTTTTATATCTTTTTGAAACGCGGTTTTGCTATGCAGTTCAGACTGGCCTTGGAGTCATTTTGTAGCCCAGGCTGGCTTTGTGTACCACCACACCCAACTTCTTGGGTTCTGTTTTGTTTTGGTTTTTTTTACTTCTTGGGTTCTTTAAAGTTATCGATTTCAGATCTAAAGAAGTTGAATTCTTTATTACTGCTTAGAAACAAACTGTGTAATAATTCTTACTACCAGTAATTGGAACCTTTACAATGTTGTGTCTGTTTTTGTTCCAGTGGCATTTTAGAAACAAAATAAATGTCTTAGAACTTGGTGTTTTTTATTTTTTCCTTTCGACATCTAAACATTTAGATATGATTAACAGATAAATTCAGTATTCAAAAGTTTGATAATCTCTGAAGTTGTATAAAGCCTGGGTTTTGCTGAGCGTCCTTAGCTGGCTTTGGTGTAGTAACTGCCCCTGAGCTCTGAAGTTGTATAATTGGAAGCCTTGTGCATGTTGTGTGTGTCTGGAGACAGGGTCTTTACTGGGGATCGAACTCAGAACAGGCAGGCAGGTGCTTACACCACTGAGCTAAATCCCTGGCCCCGTGTGTTGCTTTCTGTATACAATTCAAAGGAAGTCAGTCCAGCTTGGTCGCACTAAGAATTCAAGCTACTCATTTGACGTATTTCCTAACCTAATGGCTCTCATCTCTTCCACTGCTTTTCTTTGGTCTGGCATTTGTTTTTACAGCCTTGGTTGGCAGTGATGCGATATTAGAAGAACATTCAGTATGAAAGGAAAAAAGGGAGAAACTGTGCTCACACAGCAACATCCTCCTCATAAGCTCAAAGGCATCTGAATCTTGGGGCTGTGTCCAGCGTGCACCCCGAGCCTTACAGCACAGGTGCTCCCGGAGGGCAGGCGGGACCTCCCGGGGCCTCTCCGGGCTCCCCCTGGAGGTGGGTGCCACTTTCCCAGCACGCCCTTCCCAATTCTCCTTCTGGTTCCCTTTGGCTCACTGGGAAGATGACCCATAGCCAAGGCCCTTTACATGGCAAGACTGAGCAGACTGATAAACCGACCCAGACTTCTCCGTCCAGCAGCCCCGAGTCCTCCAGGGAGAGGCTGCCCTGCAGACCAGGACTATCCCTTCTTGGAATGTTGCAGTGCCACCATGCTTTGTGGTGAGGGCCTGATGCCAGCCAGTGCCACTGACGAGGCGGAGGCTTCAGACACGTTCTGTGCTGCGGTTTTGGGGGTGTGTGATGTATGTAAAGACAATTTGAAATTGGTCTCTGTGTTTCTGTACACTTTTTTTTTTTTTCTTTTTAGCGGTACCGGAGATCGAACTCACGACTGCCTGCTTGCAAGGCAGGTGCTTATGCCACTGAGCTAAATCCCCAGCCCTGGTCTCTGTGTTTCTTCAGTGACACTGTCATGACTTTAGACAGGTCCCTGGTCCTGCATTCACTTTTGAGCAGATATTTAGGGTTTTCTGGCATCTACCGCAATACTGGTTTGTTTGGTTTTCAAGCCTGGACAGTAAAACAGGATTCCCAAGATTTTTGGGTGTTGTGATGGGTCAGCCAACAGTCCTAGTGGGTTTCTTTTTTTCTTTTGTTTTTGTTTATTTGTTTTAAACAGCACAGTTTATTTTATTTATATTTTTGTTTATTTTGGTACCAGGGATCAAACTCACAACCTCACACTTGCCAGGCAAGTGCTTTGCAGCTGAGCTATATCCCTGGTCCTGTTTTTTTCTTTTTTGGCACCGGGAATCGAACTCATGACCTGTGCTTGCCAGGCAAGCGCTTGAGCCACTGAGCTAAATCCCCAGCCCTCTGTTTATTTGTTTTTTAAGAGGAAACTGGCCCAGGAATGGTGGCATGAGACCCTGGGCCTCAAGTTCAGCCTAGGCCAGCAGTAGTGAACCTATGGCATTTGTTTTTCTTTTCTGACAGAAGATGTTAATGTCTCAGTGTTTTCTAAACTTGAACCTCAGTTTTCAGTTGAATCATAGCGGTGGACCTCGCTGTACGTCAGTGGGCTTGGGCCTGCAGTTTGGTGCTGGGCTCTGAAAGGTTCGCTCTTCAGCACTGGCTGAACCACCTTGAACAACTTTTCTGGAACCTGCTCTCTGCCTCCGTGAATGCGGTTGGTTGTGCCCATGAAGCACAAACTTCCTTGAAGTCTAAGTTGTGTGGCGCTCTGCTCTTCTAGTCTTGCTGCCTGGGCGTGTGTTGTGAGGAGTCTCCTTCCAGGTTTATGGCTTTGTGGCCTCAGTGACGTCTTCCTCATGCGCTGATGTGGAAACCGGTCCCTTCCCTGGTATGCAGAACTTCGCTGGCGGCTCTGCTGTGTCAGTCCGGGTGTCACTGTTAACGTGGGCAGTTCCACGGCCTATTGGAGGATACAGCTTTGTCACTTAGATCTAAAATTTCCCCCTGAAAAGAATTGAGATGAGTTATGTGCATGGAACCATATGGATGACATGTCCTATCAAAAACAATGTTTTTAAACTTGACTAATGGGTAAAGCTGATGCAGCTACCAAGGAAGGCTAACGTGGCCTCTGTTGGGCTTGTTTCAGAGAAGCATGGAGACGTCAGCATCCGTTTTACGCGTATCTGAAATCTGTCAGGCGGCCTACCATCACAGGGCACTGGTGTCTCCTGTGTTGGGGGTGCCGCCAGCCCCAGTTCTCTCGTGCTGACTGATTTAGTTGGAGGACCAAGCAGCCTCTCAGCAGCAGTGTGGCTTCACTGCTCGTATCGGTCCTGATGGTGCAGAGTGTTGGGATGCAGGGTGACTTCAGAGTGCTGCTCCTTTCCCGTGACGTCTCTGGTCCTTCT